CCTAACGAGTCGTTGTTGTTCTTGTTTAACGTGGGTCTAATTTATTTTAGATTGACGGTTATTGTTAGGCGTCCCGCTGATTCAGTTTCCGCGGCGGGGTTGGTATCGTTCGTTGCTGCCTACCATTTTGTTTTGTGCGGTGGCCTGGATGTTGTGGCCCTTCTTTGGGAAGTTGCACGTTTCACTGTTGTGGGCTGGGTGATGGCAGTAACCGTGAGTCCAGCACCATCCCATGGCATCAAGTTCGGCTGCCGTGAGACCAACGATCGAGGTGTTGGCTCTGGTTGTGGAGCGTCGGTTTGGGCGATCCGGTGGTGGTGGTGTTGTCGGTGGTGCTTGGGGTTCTCGACAGTGACTCTTGGACGATCCTGGTGATCGTGGCTTGTCGATCAGTTGTGGCTGGGTGAGCGTAGAAGTCCCGGTGGAGACTGTTTGGGTGTCCGTGATAGTCTGCGTTGGCTTCGTTGGTGGTAGCCTGCGGGCGCTGACAGTGGTTTCGGTCTGGCGGACATTTTCGGCATCACGAAAGAATTCTTTGAAGTGGATGAGGGTGCGGTTTTCTGGGTGTACGTTGTTCCATTCTCGATGGGATGAATGAATAGGCCCGTGGCTTGTAGAGTGGCTACTCCGGCGCACAGCGTTGCGGTCACTAATGACATCTCCGCCTTCCACTGAGAAAGCGATGCAGGTGTCATATTATCGAAGAGTTCCTCGATGTCTGTGGGTGGAGTCCAAGCTGGGTGAGGATTCACGTATTGGCAAGGAGATCAGTCTCATGTGATTTTACCGTATTTGGTTACTAGATGGGTAATGATGTCAAATGGGCTGGTGTTGCCATATCCCCACATGCGATCTTTGAGGGCCTTTTTTAAGTATCGTTAACGCGTCCAAAATCTTGCTTGGAGGTTCTGGGCCTCTGTTTTGTGGTATAATTTCCATGTATCCAGTTCATTTTTGTAGTGTTTGTCGTGGCGGTACATTAGTGCTGTGGGTGGCGTTGGCAGCATGTACGGGGTTGTCTGGTTGGATCGGGACGACGAATGAACGTTGCCTTGGGATGCTTCAGTGTATGCTGCCTGGCCAAGAATGATGTAGGCGTGGCCTAATCTGCCATACACCGTTCTCACCGGAGATAGCTCTGGTGTTGCAAGAACCTGAGAGATGAGGAGGAATAGCTTCCTCTGGTCAGGTTTGCCAATGATTGGTGTGAGGATGGGGTGTGGCATTGCCTCAGTTGGTGTAGGTGGTAGGTCATTGTAGGAGAGGGTAGAATTGGATTTGAAGTTGGGCGACACGGGTATATTTAGTTCCCTTTGTCGGACGTTTAAGGCCTGTGTGTCTAGGTGGTGTATATGTGGGTAGTGGTATTGTAGGTTGGTGTTTGAGTGTTTTGTTGGCTAGTAGCGGTATCAGCTGGTAGCGGTATCAGTTCGAGGATTCGAGGATTCGAGGAGCGGTCGATAGAGGTGCGGTATCTTTCGTTGTTCCGTTCGAGGATAGAGGTTCGTTCGAGGATAGAGGTGCGTCGTGCCGTTCGATCGATAGAGGTGCGTTCGTCAAGCGATAGAGGTGCGTCGTGCCGTTCGATCGATAGAGGTGCGTTCGAGGCTTCGTTCGTCGAGCGATAGAGGTGCGTCGTGCCGTTCGATCGATCGATAGAGGTGCTTTCGTGCCGTTCGTTCGATCAGTGTAGCGGATCGGTGGTGGTATCGGTTGGTGTGGTATTGGTTGTATAGAAGGATCTTATAACATCTGTTGAAGAGACTAAAGGTAGCGATAGATGTATTACGAATGATGTTATAAGATTATGAGGAAAAGCTACTTTGTTGTCTCTGTATATCTGTAGATCTGTAGATGGGTGGAGGCTAGATTCTGGTTGACGGTTGACCGTCAGACGGCCGGAATCAGCAGGCACAACCAGAGTACCTACTAGTGACCAGGCTACTTGCGTGACTAGTCTACCTACTTCTACTCTACGATTAGAGGGGTTTGAGTGATGCAGATGTTGGGACTGCCTGAACTTGGAGCTCTGTCGCCAACCAGGGCGAACGGGTGCTCAACACCTTGGTTCTATACATAGTAGTCAGGAATCCTTGCTTCAGCATGAGCCCACAATGGGATAACTGCTTATTCGCCATAGAGCTCCCCAAGGTGATCAGCCTGGTCATCCAATGCTCGGTGCCTTTTTTCCGTGAGCTGGTATGTCAAAGCCACCCAAGTCCTGTTCGTCTTCTTCGCCCTTGTCATCTTCTTTGATTGCTGCCAGCAAAGCTGCAGGAATGTTTTGAAGTTGCCGTTGTTCTGCAGACTTGATCAACTTCATGAAATCTTCCCACGCTTTTCCGCCATGATTATAAAACCTGTGTGTAATAACGCCTGATTCTGAGAAATGGAAGATCTGCCATGTTTTATCACAATTTGCGGCCAGCAGAGCAAGACCTGTCTCAAGTTTGCTTGTCATGGATAGAGCAAACAGTTCCAGCAAGTTTTGTCCAGTCTTGATAAGAGATCTATCCATTTTGAGTTCAACTAAACCATTCACAAAAGTAAAAGTCTCTCCATGCTCCATATTCTCCAATTTTCCAATTGCAATGTCACCTTTCCCGGCGGCGCTTTTCCTGTTGCCCTTCGCCTTTGGAAGTACTGCACCAGTTACAACCTTGAGACCATATTTTTCTTCCCCAGCCAACAGGTGTTGATTAAACCACTCCACTACTACAGGCGTACTGGCATGTTCACTTTTGTTCCAGACTTGGCCGCCCAAATCAAGGACTTCCCATGAAAACTTTGGTGGATCAGCCAGGGACCCAGCCTCCCGGATAGGGTCCTCCGTGGCAGTCCGGATACCATTTCCAGCCAATATTGATTTAGCAAATGGTGCAGATGCTTCTGACATTGGCTTATGCTTCGTCCTGTTATCCATTTCTTCCTGTGCAAAAGCAGCAAGTGCACTGATCTGCTCTGCCGAAAATCCTGGAGCTTGATGAAAAGGCGATGTCAGGAAGGCAAACCAATCGATGATATACCCATCGTAATTAATGGATGGCAGATCAACAAACAAACGAACCAAATCTAGAATTCTTCTTACCATATGCTGGCTTTTGTGGTGGAGCGGGTGCCACCACAATCAAGGGATGATCGTCGGATGTGGGCGGGGTCTTTTTCTTCAATTCCTAAATCACCTCTTCCAATTTCTTGCCTGATTTATATTTGTTCTCGTCACCAGAAGATTTCGGTGGGTAGGCAACAAGCATAGCAGGAGAACAGTGCATGAGTTCCTCCGCCATTTTTGTCTTTAACGGCCTCTGCCAAGTCAGCAACATCTTCCAGAATTGGTCTAATTTTAATAGGATTGCCCTCTTCATCCTTTCCATCGTAGTAGAGCTGAACCCAATTAGAATTCAGCCAAACTTCAACAATATTACGATGCCGGCCCATCTTTTAATTCAGCTCGCCCGGTATATCTATTACACCTCCGGTGTCCTTTATTGTTTGTTGTTGCCACGTTCGGACGTGCACTTTAAAAAAGGTACAGCTGTCTAGTAGCTAGCGGTAGCTAGACCCACCCAGAATACATCTGTGTAGAACAAGTAACAGAATGTACAGGAGACCTTCCCAGTACTGGTATATGGGAGATCTTGGGCCTGTTGGCAGCTTCACAACACAGCTGAGACACCATGGACAGCTAAGTCAGCTGCCAAGACAGCCAATGCAGATGAAGCATAGACAAACAAGTTTATTAAGAGAGTATCACCAAGCCAGAGCTAGCTAGTCACCGTACAACATTAAGATGCGGCTTCTTGTATTGGCATACCTTTCTTCGACTCAAATCGCTGCGTTCAATAGCATTGCGTCACCCAGACAACGGCTGCGCTCATTCACACCAACACCAGAAGCAAATCCACGAAACCACGCCTTCCTGCTTCAAGAAAGAAGAGACAATGAGGACCAAGATCCAGAATTTGAACCGCTAGATGTGATACTAGCACGTGCTAGAAAACGTCCAGTTAGCCCTCTGCTGCGAATGCAAGCCTTTCTCGACGATCCTCTTATTGGTAAGGGGGTCGTCTTGACGAGGGGAGATTTTGTGTTTACGGTTGTTGCAATAGGTTTAGGTGCAAATGGATTTGCAATTGGCCTTTTACTTGGCAAGTGGACGTCCAGTAGACTACCATTCAGGCAAGAACTGCCACCGATTCTTGTGCAGCTATATCCAGTGCTTTTGGCTATTGCTTTGGACCAAGTAATGTAGTTGTCGAATCTTGAACGATCACAAAGGCAGAGTATGTTGATGATTCAGGTGTGGCAAATGATACGACTGCGAGACACAGGGTCGAATATGTAAGGTTGGGATGCATTCTATAGGATTAACAAAAACCGCACAAAAGAACGAGGTAGCGGCGGCCTCACTGCAAAAAAGGAACATGATCTGCTGGGGTTTCTGTTGTCCTAGTCGAACCATTCTATGCAGCAAAAATGCTGCTGGTGCAAATTGTAGGGTTGGATAGCAGAAGATAATGGACAACCCGAGTGTCGTGGCGATTGGCAATCAGTGTGTCAATCCAATCTTTCGGCTGTGCCGTGTCGCTGCCCAGCAACCTTGCCCTTCCAACATGGTTCAGTTGCAGGTAGAATGGGATAATGGTGTGGGTCGCGCCCCACGAAATCCCTCGAATGCACTTCAGCGTATAGTTTGTCCGAAGCATTTCGGCTGTGCAATTCAGGAAATGCTTTCGGTCGCCCAATCGTTCACTCAGATAGTCTACATGGAAGACAAGCTCTTCCAAGCCTGCCCTGGGGGATTGAAGTGCTTTGATAAGAGGAAGGACATCATCCATTGAGGGACAAAGCGACAGTCTCAGAGCCTTTAAGGTTTGGCTCTGTTTCAATGTACACGCCAAGGCTTCACACGTTGCCAATCCAAGATCATAGGACTCAATCCGGAGCGTTCGCAAGTTCTTGTGTGAATTGACGGCGGTGCGGACGAACTTGGCTAGGTTGCCGTCTTGAAGCTCCGGTACCATCTTCAATGAAAAGGATCTCAAACCAGTGGCCGTTCCACATAGTGCAATCAACGTGTCTGTCGTTCGGAACCCCAGTGAGCTCAGCATGGTGTGGCTGATGGAAACGTCCGCCAACATTGGAGCCGCTGCGAGTGCTTTCAAAAACAAAGTAAGTGAATAAGTTGGCTCTTGCTCCGCTGGTCGACAGCCTGATACAGACACAGTCGTTAGCTTGGTGCAATTGTCCCGCATCGTGCTGACCAGGTTGTCGTAGTCCGTTCTGCTTCCAAAGAAGCTTACATTCTGAAAACAAAGGCTCTCGAGGTCCTGTGTTCTTGATACCAGTAGATGAAGCGAGCTTATGGGAAGGGGATATGCTTTGCTCTGTTCAGCGAGGCAGCTAATCTCAAGACGTTGGATTAATTGCAGTTCGTCGGATGATGCAACGTTGTCTACCTGAAGGCCTTCCGGGCTTCCACTTAGCTCGATTTGCATCATCTTCATCATTGTTGTCGGGTGTTGGCGTTGCACCTACAAAGTAAGTTTAGCTGCTTTGTTTTGTGAGGGTACCGGTATTACAGTATTTGTTGGGGTATGTAGTCGGGGTTGACCTATGGCAGCTTGCTATCTACTGGCCATAAGCTAGAGACATCAACCGGCACTTTGTGGCCACGTCGTCTTGTGAGCTCCCGATGCGAAGGGTCTTCTGGATTCGATGTTTACTCTGAGGAGTGTGAGGTGTGAGGAGTATTGTGAGACGTTTATTAGAGCTCGTTTGCTCGTTTGTCTGTTTCGTTTGGGTTCGAGGGTGCAGGGTGCAGGGTGCTGGCGGGCAGTGTCGGGCTGTTGAAGTTGTAACAAACGTACTTGAGGAGTACGATTCGATGCTTACGAAACAGAGACCCAGGTAAAAGGAACTTCAATAGATGATTAATACTAAGTCTTCATGTCGTGAGGAAACGTATTTTTAAATCATTGTCAAGAGCACTCCTGCTTAACAACTTCAAGTGTCCTTCTGGCTAGCAAGAGAAAAGTCTTAGTGGTACCACTTTTTGGAATTGACTTGGAACAGAGAGGTCTTGCTTGCTGTTTGGATCCACCCTCCAACCTCGACAGCTCCTCAACTGACTCATGAACTTCCCCTTGGAGCAGCCCCGAGACAACCAACAACCGACAACCAACAACCCTGAATGCAGGCAAGCCGGCCTACTACAGACGCTGAATCCACGGTTGCTGTACTAGTATGACATGAAGCTGGAATGGTAGCAGATATATCAGCACAGACAGCAAACAGGGAATAGATCAGCAGGCTCTTTTCTGCCTGTTCAATGTGTAGTTCAAGCCTCTGTCGCTTTTGTTTTGGTTGCTGTAGCAATTACACGTCAAATAAGCCTCGCTACGGTTCTCTTGAGAAGGTCACTTCTTGCCAAAGCGAGGGTTGAAGCAACACTGTTGGGAAGGTCTAGCCCTAGCAAGAATACAAAAAACTTTGGTGGTTGCTGTATTTTCACATTCCTAAGGTTCTCTACTACAATCCTGTCTAAACTCTAAAGCTATTACCAGGAAGCTAGCCAGACACTACTTGAGCCATACTAGCTTGCTACTCCGTACTGAGTACTCAGTACTAGTAGTCTCGCAAGGGCCTATGGGAATACCAGATTCACGCTGTGCTAGCTTGTAATAAGTACTCAATAGGGGATGAAAACGAAGGGCACTTCAACGCCTTTGTTGAAGCAACAATGAGGTTTGTTGCAGAGGTGGTTTGGATAGCTGAGCAGCTACTAGTATAGCTGTTTGGATCACCTGTTGGACCGGCTTCTGAAGGTGCCTTGCTTGTCCTTCGTTTCTTGGCCTTCTCAAAAGCTAGAAAAGAGTGAAAACGAAAATATTATGTCTGAAGACCGAATCGAATCGAATCGAATCGAATCTTCAATCGAATGAACGATGGCGCATCTGGTTTATTGTTCGAGAAAACCATGTCGCTGATGGGATGAAGCAATCAAATATCCCACCTTGGAGGTGGGGCACTGGTGGTTCCTATGATCTCGTGGCCTGAGGAAAGTAAATCTGAAGAAAGTGCAGCAGGGGCTGCTAAATTTGTCTAGCTAGTAGTCTGTTTAGTTTGGAAAAGTGAGGATGACTTTGGCAAGTCTGTCAAATTCAGCCACCTCGTTGTACACATGACAAGACACTCTCACAAAGAGCTCTCCATTAATGCATTTGATGGGGACTTCAATGTGATGATCAAATAGAAAGTCTTGGATCTCCTTGGCCTCCTTTGATGTCTTGATGTCAGTGGGACTTCCACAAATGATTCTGGGAAGCCGAACCAGAGCCATTGGTCCTAACAAGCTTGTGGGGACTAGCGTGATCCCTGCTCGCAACCAGTCAGTTTCTCCGCAACTGGAATCATGCCAGTGATCTGCTAGACATTGTATCCCCTCCACCAGCGAATGTTTCATGTTCGACCGTACCGAATCTACATTGCGAGCCTCCCAGTAATCCAAGACAGCTGGCAGTGCCAAGGCAGCCGCATAGTCTCGACATCCATCCCATACAAATCGACTCAGCAAGTCAGTTTCGTCAACGCCATGCGAAATAATGGCTGGTTCCGCCAGGACTGTTTCCCGAAGGTCGGCATCCGGACAGAATAGCATTCCCACACCACGTGGACAGGAGAGCCATTTGTGTCCATTCGCCACGTAATAGTCGATATTGTTAGAAGTAGTACCTCCAGGGCCACAGTAGGCTTCCAAATCGACCTTTTGAGCCAATAATCCATGTGCACCATCCACCGCTACCTGTATGTTGTCGTAGGTTTGCTTAACGTGTGATGCGATTTCTTCGATGGGCATGTTGATGGCAGTGTTGGATGTAGTGTGGTCAAGAACTAGAAGACAGTGGCCGATTGTGGCACAATCGTGTCGGTGAATTGTGTCGTCCAAAGCCTCCAAGAATACTTGGTGTGGATCGTTCTCAGCAAACCGACTCATGTATGTGCTCTGGAAGGGAATCTCGATTATTTGATGGGGCTCAAAGACGTGGGCCGCAAGCTTTTTGAGACTCCCATAGCTAGTATCCCAAAGAATTACGCGGGAATCAGGTCCATACACTCTTCGATATCCTTTCAACACAGAATTCAATCCAGCCGTGGCATTCTGGATGAGAGTAATGCCTTGCCGTACCCTAGCTTGCTTGTCAGAATTGTTGCGGCTCTCCGAGCAAAAGGCCGCCAACCGCCTCGTGGCATATGCCAGATTGGGCAAAAGGTCTCTGTCAAAGTAACGAAGCGGTTGCTGCTCCAGGTGCCATCTCCAGAGTTCTGCACGGCGATGGCCAACTTTCAAGGCAGCACCAAAGGCCCCATGATTAAGAAATGTCCAATTTTCTCGATCCAGCAAAAAATCGGATCCATCCTCCTGTAAAGATGGTGATTTTTCGTTTGCAGCTTCGACGGCAACCGGTAAGGGTGGGGCTTGGTATTCTTCGTCTGATAACGACATGAGCATTCCAAGATCATCGGAGTGAAAGGATCCCACAGATTGATATCCTTGGGTATGCTGGCTTCGGCGTGGAATTCTTTTAGCATTTGTCAGCTGGACAACGCAACGCTGCCATCTTGTCCTCCCCAAGGTCGATGTCATGATGTTTCTCGCAGATAGTTGGTTGGCAGTTCGATGAATGGGACCACCCTTTGAATGCACCTCTGAACTCTGAATGCTCGATGCATGCTCGATCTGAGAGAGGATCCAGAGGTCAAAGGCGAAAGATCCAAATAAGCCAGCAATACGGTATAACAGGCTCAATGACCAAGAGGGGGTCTCTATGTCCAATGGACCAGCAACCACAACCACAACCGAGTAGCATGGTTTGGGTCCCAAGCTGCTGCGGTGGCGGAACCTCTGTTAGCTTCATCCCTTGGATTGGACTTGAACCAATAACCTTCAGAACCACAGTCTGCTCCACCAGTTGAGCTACCAAGGGTATACCAATCATGGGATTGGAAATGATATGGACGAGACTTGAACTCGCAACCGTCAGATTGGAAGTCTGATGCTCTGCCAAATTGAGCTACCATACCAAGGGAGGAGCTGATACTGAGAGGATTCGAAGCCCTGAAAACAATGCCCTTAACATTGCGACTTAGTCCACTCGGCCACAGTATCAGGTTGCTTCTAAAGCCAGGCAAGGCTGGCAAATCCCTTGGGTTGGACTTGAACCAACAACCTTCAGAACTACAGTCTGCTGCTCCACCAGTTGAGCTACCAAGGGTATACCAATCATGGGATTGGAAATGATATGGACGAGACTTGAACTCGCAACCGTCAGATTGGAAGTCTGATGCTCTGCCAAATTGAGCTACCATACCAAGGGAAGAGCTGATACTGAGAGGATTTGAACCCCTGAAAACAATGCCCTTAACATTGCGCTTAGTCCACTCAGCCACAGTATCAAGTTGCTTGGCTGGCCGAGCTTCCTCTGTTGCTGTGAGTTCTGGGCTTGTTTTCCTCTAAAAGGCGTGCTGGAGGAGCCGTGACCCAGTTCGGAGTTGTGGGACTAAAGCACGTTTGGGACTGAAATTCGAAATACGACTCGACTCAGTGAAACACGAACGCGAAGCCCTGACCTCGTCCTTTAGAAAGAAGGATCACAGAATAAAGGCAAGCAGCCACGTCGCCAAAACAATCATACCGTACCGCATGTAGTTCCTAGCTAGGAAAAGCTGCATGGTTAACTCAATAAAACTGAACGAAATCACCCTGTTCCTTGTGCTTAGAGGGGTTGATGTCATCAGATTGCCCAGGGATCATGAAGATGATCTTGTCAGGAGGCACTGGGTAACTGGAAACACAACGCTTTCATTCTTGGCGGTGCAAGTGGGAGTACTATTCAGTAGGCTGTGACATTATCATCCACTTGGAAGTGCTCCATATATGTCTCGTAGGTGACCAAAGGTTACATTGCCCGGATGCAGATTGACTTCTGCACTATCATGACTGGAAAAGTCCATGCAATCCCCGAGTGGCTCATTGAAAAAGTCATCATCCGTGTGAGCCAATCCCAAGGCATGGCCTATCTCATGACACAGTTGGTATTGCATATAGACTTGGTTTGTGGCACCACCACCCGACTGCAAAAAATAGTAATCATTCAACTTGACCGCGGCAGCCACCATCCAGCCACTGGATATGATGACCAGTGTAATACCATACCACTCGGTGTTCCCATAATCCCCATTGCAGACCTTGATCTGATCCATGGCTGGATTACAGGATCCATCCGTGTCCGTGCCTGGTTCAATGGTGAGAGATACAGCATCCGGATCACCCGAGTTCCAGTCAGAAACAACCTTGTCCAAGATAGCAATCCAATCGCTACTTGGTTGAAGAGCGTTGACGACCGTAAGTGCCAAGCCATCCCCCGATTGTCGCCACCTTAAAACATCCGCTGGTGTCAAGCCCTGGAATGGATCTTGTGGGACAAATTGGGGCGGCGGAGGAGATGGTGGAGGGGGTACGGTACCGGTGCTGCCGACAAAGTTTATGCTTGCGCTTAGGGCTACCGGTACCGGTAGATCTAATAATGATTGCTCGTCGTAGCTGCTATTCATACTGCTGCTTGCGTTTTGAGTTGGGGCCATTGTTTGCTCGTCTTTTTTATCAACATAAACAATAATGATAGTATCGTGGTTCTGCTGCTCGTCGTCTCCACCGCCAAGCGTGAGAACTAAGATAACTACAACTAGCAACACCACGGCCGCAACAACACACACTGCTGTTGCGATCTGAAGCCTTCGTGCCGCACGGCGTATACTCTCATCGGATTCGTTATACAAGCCTCGTTCCTGTTGTCCTCTGCTAGCAGGAGTGGCATTATCCTCCCCACCTGCCATTGTTAGTTACGAACACTTTTCCCTCCTCGGTCACGTATGTAGCCAATTCCAGCAGCAATACAAAATTTTCTTTGCACCCATGGACGAGGCAGCAGTCCTCCTGACAACACTAAAGCTTGCGGCTGTGCAGTGAAGCCGTGAGCCATGAAGCGCACGATGGCGCCATCACTGCCATGGCGGCCATCATTCGGAAGACTTCCAAAAAAGTAAAGTTGGATCACGAATGACTGAGTCATCTATGAGTCACCAACCTTAGTGACTGCTGACGGCAACAATTGACAACGGCGGCGACACGTCATGGATCTTTTGCGGCTTCCACAATGCGCTCGAGCAGCCAAGGTCAATGCTTTTTCCAGGGCCGGCTGTTGGCTGTGTTGTAGCCTACTGGATTCCTCTGGTAGCAGCTGCCTATACCCAGCCATTGATTGTTGCCTGGATCACTTTCTATCTTCCGACAAGACTTGACTTTTGCAGCAAAGAGGGAAAGATTCATAAAATCCAATCCAATCCATCCATCAAACAATATCATGGTCAAGGTCAACGGTATCGCAGTCAGTCTCTTGGCGTTCCTGCAGGGAATCGAGGCGATCAATGCATTTGCTTCTACGCTGCAGAGGGTCAAAGATTCCATTACCAACAAAGAGTACACCCGAGATGAATTGAAAATTGGAATTGCTGGATTCTACGATCGTTCCTCCAAGTTGTGGGAAGATGTGTGGGGAGAGGTATGTGGGTTTTATCATAATATTTGGATGGCCTATAACGTTGAGTTGTTTTCTCACTTTTTGGATCTTTAATCTTCCTTTGGGTATCAATCTTCCATTACATGACATTACATTATAGCACATGCATCATGGCTATTACATTCCTGAGAATCGCACCGACCACGTCCAGGCACAAGTTGATTTGATTGATGAAGTCCTCAAGTGGGGAGATGTCAAATCAGCCAAGAGTGCGGTCGACGTTGGCTGTGGCATTGGTGGCAGTTCCAGGCACATTGCCCGCAAATACAACTGCAAGACACAAGGAATTACTCTAAGTCCCTACCAAGCCAACCGTGGCAACGAGTTGGCCAAGGAGCAGGGTCTCGAAGATCAATCCAGTTTTCAGGTGAGTCAAGTCAGACACAATGCGGCCACATATATATATTGCTCGACGTTGTTGGGCAACGGTACACAAAACAATCTGCAATGCTGCGAGTGAGAAAAATCAAACAACAACAATACCATTTGGATTTGGTTGATGATCTTCTGCTGGATGATTCGATTCTGATATTATTGAAAACTGTACTTTCCAAAATCTTACGTAGGTGGCGGATGCTTTGGATATGCCCTTTGACGACAACAGCTTTGATTTGGTCTGGAGTTTGGAGAGTGGAGAGCACATGCCGGACAAGAAAAAGTTTGTCGAGGAATTGTTCCGTGTGGCGGCTCCTGGTGGACGCATTTTGGTAGTCACTTGGGTGACACGGGATTTGCAGGAAGGAGAGACCGGCCTCACCAAAAAGGAAGAGAAACTCTTGCGAAAGATCAATCGTGCCTACTACTTGCCTCGATGGGTGAGTACGCAGGACTATGTGACTGTCTTTAAAGAACAGGGTGCTACCGATATCCGCACCGAAGACTGGTCTTACATTATTGCACCATTCTGGAAAGCCGTCATCAAGAGCAGTCTCAACTTGAAGAGTGTCATTGGGCTGTTCAAAAGTGGCTTTTCGACAATCCGTGGTGCCTATGCCATGTTGTTGATGCTCAAGGGGTACAAGATGGGACTGATCAAGTTTGGTCTCATCACTTGTACCAAGCCAGAGTAAGAAGTAAGAGTATGAAGGCCCTCTAGCTACTAGAAATTGATGCAGAGAAAGAGAAACAGGAATGTATAGAAAAAGGTTTCCTCTTAACAAATGACACTTGTTGCCCTGATAGCTAGCAATGGATTATTGGGCCCCCAGAAGCTGTGATGGCTGTAGAGTTGACAGCTAAAAAGTTTCTGAAAATGACGAGAGACATGGCCTCATGTAGCCATTCGGAACTAAACAGACTAGATGGCTCATTTTCAATCTCGCGGTTTCCGGCTTCTCATCAAGGCAGGACCATGACAACACAAACGGACATCAAACGAGAGCCAAAGACTCGACTCCAGGCTGCATGAGCTACTGGCAATCACCGATAACAGCGGCTCCAAAGACCTTGCAACCCGCAAGAATAGAAATTGTACACTATCGAAAAACCCACAATACCTGAGCAACAAGTGGAAGCAGGCTCCTTCATTCAGTTAGTTTTAGAATCCCACACCGATCCGAATACCGAAGCAAGGAGATTCGATTCATTCAGTCTTACGGTAGGGTGCACAACTTGTTTTTTGTCGGAACGCATACGTAGAGCGAAAGTGCAGCAGATAATCGATCTTAGACCACGGCAATTGAATCCATTGGCGAGGAAAACCTCTGGATCCCCCAAAAAGTCAAAACCAATACTCGAGTATTTTACTACCTTCTTGTCATAATACTTCGAGGGAGTCAACTAACTCAGCAGACACAATGGGCGGGTTATGTACGAAGCCGCAAGTGAAAGAAATGACACTTGAAGAGCGAAATGATCGAACTGTCAAGGGGATATTTGACCGCTTTGACAAGGACAAGTCGGGCTATATTTCAAAGGAGAATTTGAAACAGATCATTCAAGACGACAAGACATTCATGAATGCTGATGTGGAGCATATTCTATCTAAATTTGGAAACAATGGCAAGATGAGCTTGGAACAGTTCAAGCATTGGTGGAACTCTACCTATACAACCTACAATGATGACAATATACGGCAAATATTGGACGAATTAGATGCCGAAGGGGGGCCGGAGGGAGCAGCAGCAGGAGCAGCTGGCAATCCAACAACACCACCACCCCCACCACCCAAAATGAGCAAAGTGGAGAGTGTCACCAAATTGGAAGAGAATCGGTCATAACAATCAAGAGGAAATGGCTTGTATCCAGCTGTCACACCGTTTCCTTCGAATGATACCACAATCATCGATTGTCTGTCTGCAACTCCAATCGACAACTTAGAAACAACAATTCTATCGCTGCTTCTAAAGCGGACTCTCCGCCCCCTTGTAAACTATACTTTACTTACTTGGTGACAATATTCACTGCCATAACTACGTCGATTAACGCCTCTATAGCTTTCCCAACGTATTTTCCTTTCCAGAACTACAGTACGAAACCTTACATGCACCGCTCGGTACTGAAGTCACCAGACACAATGGCAAGGGAAGTGCAGCTTAGAAAATAGAGCGAACAAAACCACAGACCAGATTAATCGTTGAACTTAAATTGTAGCTACTAGTATAGTGATTTCGTCCAAGAGAAGAGAGAGGGTCGGGAAGATTTCTACGGAAGCTGGCCAGGCTTTTAAGGCAGAGAAGATGCGGAATTCGGGACTTGCATGGTTCTGTGGGATCAGGACAACAAATTGAGGACCAACGCAGGGGCCAAAGGGCTTGACTTTGTGGGATCTGTGGAGACCTAAATGATTGGCTTTAACAACAAGCGCAATGGAACGGTGTGTCCGGATGTAGAACATCATTTGGGAGTAGAATATTGAGTTTTGTTTGCATAGCAGTCGTACACTGTTCGAACAAACCACGTAAGGAAAGATCACCACGCAAAGTTTCGATGGTGGGGACTTGGATAGTACCGGTAGGGAGGGGCGGTTCAGCTTGAACAACGGATGGACTAAGAAAGCATTCACAGTGCAGCGGCAGGGATTAAGATGGGACTGATCGAAGATAAGCAATACTGGTGCAAACGCGCTTTGTCCGAGCATCACGTTAAACCAGGAACCCGCAGTATTCCCAATCGAATCCTAGCCTAGCTAGCAAGCTAGAGACTTGGTACCGGTACCGGTAGCAACTCAAGTGCCGCACGGTAAGCCTTTCGCAGCTATTGATGCAAAAGGCCAGGATGCCTTTAGTGTGCAGTTGGAAACTGCAACTGCCTACAACTAACTTTCTCACAGCCTGCCTTCAAAGGCGAAGATCAGCACCTGCAGGTAGCACAAAAGCCAACAAGGGTCGAAATCTCGACGACTAGGACTGCTCAACTTGACCAACCATACAAGCATTGGGAATTGCAACCGCCATGTCTAATTCCATGTGACTTATTTGAAAGCTGTTTTCGTGGATGTATTCTTTTGCTGTGTTTTAGCAACTATTGCATCACATGCAGGAAATGAATGCCTGAGAGTATGTTGTCGTGGTTGTTTTTGATTGCCAAGTTGTTGTGTCATCAGGTGTCATTCATTGTCTGTCGTTCGTTCGTTCACTCTGGCATGGCAGGATCAATAGCTGGTGGCTTGCCCAGCATCCATGCCTTGCAATAAATGGCAATGATACTCAAGGATCCCCAGGTAAGACCTGCCACAACACCGGCATCGACAATATTTCTCCATGGATAAGGCAAGCGTTTCACGGCGGCCACAATCGCAGCCACCCCAATGGTAACACTCCAACTAACAATTTTACGCTTTTTGGAAGCATGGAAAAGCCCCATGGAGTAGAGTGGTGCCAATAGAATGTGATGAATGCCACTCGTTCCAGGCACCAATGTCAAGGATCGTTTAACCACTAGAGGCGAAAATTTGGTTTGAAACCCCTTGTATCCTTCCACATAGGCGAACCAAAGGCAAGTCACAAGGTAGATTCTGTAAGTAAAACAAGATAAACAAGAAAAAAGGGTTTAGTACAGACGATCCTCGTCATTGCATGCAAAAAACGTAGCGTACAAATACCCACCCCAGCTGGACTTGTGATAATGGGACTGCCCCTTCCTGGAATGGCTCCAAAGCGATCGGTACCACTCTTTTAATGGCCTTGGCCAAAATGTAAATCACTCCACCACTTCCCCATAAAGAGGTCAACAAAACCGAAAGTTTCTTGTAGTCTGGTTGCTCGGGGGTATTCACTCTGCTGCTGCTGGCACCACCACTCACATTGAGGGCGGTATCAGTGGGTTTCTTGCGCTGTCGCAGAGTGCTTGCCATGGCGGGCGCAGTTGTTACTGGAGGGCGAACAAAAGAGACAGCTGATTGTCGGGTCGCCGTGGATGGGAGGGGCGATTTATTAGCGTTGGCAAAGGAGAATCCAATATCCAGGCTTCCCACTAGTGCCAAAAACGACAGCAAAAATCGACAAGGGCGCATAAGAGGCAGTGGAATGAGACAAGAGAATGCGTTGTATGCTATACAAAAGAGAGTTCGCAAGAGTGGTCTTGAGATATTATCCGTAACTAGCCAAATGTCAAATAATGCGACCAGTGATAAATACCGGTAGATCTTAGAGTGGGGTTCGTCTTCTCGCTGGTCTTGGATCTTTTGATGGCTGTGGTCAATGCGGGTTGCCGATCTTTCTTGTTCGGCGGCGGCTGGCCTCACAAGTCCTCGTGGACAAATCTACGAAACCATGCCGCTCTGCTAGCTTCAAACCAAATTCATTCTTTCTGAAGTCTGTGGGTTTGGTCCCGCAGCTGGGCGAACTGCTCCTGATCCATCTCCTGGTCTACCTCCAGGACACATGGATTGTCCCACAGCTGGGTTGAAACCAGAATTCACTCCCTGACTAACTCCTGGACACATGACTGGACCAATCTAGGGCGTTCTCCCGGTCGCAAACCTGGACCCTCACCAGATTCCATTGCTTGCCAGGCCCCACTCCAAGACAAAGTCTAAGACCAACATCAGGAACAACTCCACACCTGGAACGATGTGTGGATCAACTACAGGGCCTACCTGCTTCTGTAACCAAGGAGAATAAATAATTAAAAGACCTTCCGAGTGACGAGTCTGCAGGTAGATTTTGATTTGATTCGATTCGATTCATTTGTGGTGGTGTGGGCCTACACCATGGGCTCACTTTCCTACAAGTGACGACCCTACTCTCATGTGGGACCTCAAATCCATTTACTACAAGCCGGACGACGGAGGCTTCGATCCGTTTGTTCATGGCCGTTTCTTGGGTCGCATGTCCCGTTCGTAAGGTCTGTTTGGGTGGACTTTTTCCCACGTGCAACGAGCGCAGGAACAATCAAAGCCGTACGCAAATAGAGCGATGGATCGGGCCTTTGGATCCGCTCCCTCCTCCACAGCCATTGCAACTTGGTCGTCGTTGCCTTCACAGGTGGCACTAGAGGCTTCACTGCCCTCCAACACCTCCACTTCCTCCTCGTGGCTTGCACAAGTGGAATTTTCGGCCTGTTCTTGCAAATTGTCGTCATCGCTGTTGCAGTCTTTGTGGTTCAACCACTTCCACGTTCGGGTAGGTGTGTGGTGTTGAAAACGTTCGCTGCTTCCTCCTGCGTCTAGATCGCCATTGGGCACGTAGGTAATACATATTTCCTCTCCAGCAGCAATGTCCCTCAGAGCCACCATGCTCCCAACATTGGACTCTTGTAGGAAATCTATGGATGCATTGGGATCGCAAGCATGGTTGGCCAGGGTCAACAAGGGAAAGAGTCCCGAACCAGTGATGGAGCTGTCTTTTCCCTTCAACAAAGGTAGGACGTTTTCCTCGAACCAACACACGTCGCCGTTATTACTTTGTTGTTCGACATGGCTGGCTGTGGCCTCCTTGCCGCTCTCACCCTCATTGTCTTCACATAAATAATCCAGGTGATCTAAATATTGTCCCGCTGGCGAGGGGTATTCGAATTGCATGACATTGCATTGAAGCATTCCCAACAGCTCCCCTATGTTGTTGATGTTGTTGTCTGCGGGGCAGAGTTTGTCGAGGACCTCACGGACGATTTGCACATTTTGCTCGTTCATTTTTGGATCCAGTTCAGTCTGTATACAAGATCTGAGCAAGGACACGTATTCTTGACATTGCTGGTACCTCGAATCTCTCTTTTCGTCTTCAATTTCCCACCATGGCGGATGTGCACCAAAGTCTTTCCAGAAGGTAAGACTATCCACCAATGTCAGATTTCTTTCCTTGGACTTTTCATCGTTCAGAGGTTGTTTATGTTGTTGCTTTCTCGGTTGTGTTTCGTTCTGTGGATTGTCGAGGTGGATCTTCGTGGCAGTGCTCAAAAGAAGTGCCACGGCAATGGTTGCGAGCTGGAAAATGGCCGCGTTGTCGACCCTGCCATAGAATGACTCCAAAGGAGTACTATCACTACTGTCACTGGTTCTTTCTTTACACAAGAACAGCTCATGCCGAGAACGTCCCCTGTCCGCACATTGTGGGCTGCACCAGGCCACTTGGTGGCAACCCTTGCACTCGATTCTTGCATCCGAAAAGCAGGCGCCTGGATCATCCTGAAGGATCGGGATTTTTTCAGTGGATGCACTCATCGTAAGATGATCTCTGAGTGTCCCCAGCGGAGCGGCGCAATGGTTGCAGAAAAGCTTGTCTTTGTTGGGGCTGGAAGTGGACACCAAGGGCTCTTCGAAGGGAATAATCAAACTGCCACAGGAAATGTCCCGAGTGGCGAACATTCCAACACCATGTTTGCAATCTTTTACTACGAAGCAAGCTTCTTCTGCGATTCCTTTTTCTTTGTCATTTTCTACCAATAAGGAATCCTCTGATCCGTTCTGGTCAGCTGCATGCCTTCTCTTTCGCTTTCGCTGCCCTTGGGACGAGAAGGGTATCTGAAGAGTGCCTTCAGTTTGCCCTCGCGATTTCTCTTTCTCCTTTTTCTTGGCAACAAACGCTTGGGCCATAAAGGATCTTGATAAGGTTGGGACGATCGAAGAGTGATCCATGACCACATTCATGCTGTCGTGCAGGTCCTGTGGTTGCATAGTGTTCAACAAAATCATCCGCGTAGCAATCAGTGTATTTTAAAATAGTTTAGGCGCTTGTCTAGAAAAATGAGACGAGATTTAAAAGGGGTTGTCGCACCGGCACCTAGCAAGTTTTGTAACTACAGTAAACGAGCCAAGCCTCGCCGCCTCGTAGCTCAATCCTCCTCACACGAACCTGCCCTTTGCCCTTGTCCTCTGAAATTCATCCTCGTCCTCTGAAACCCATTCTCTCTCACCATGCATAGGGCTTCCCGTCTAACCCATAGTAGTCTAGCTTCTCCATTATCCATTATACTACTAGTACAATAAACTGTTTTACATAAAGATCCTTCTGAAACCGTCGAAAACCAAGCATCGCACTGAGCTTTCCAAACCAAAGGAAGCTTATGAGCTTATGGACTGCATCTGTTGAAGCTTTGGCCAACCACTTGAAACCATGAAGATTTATGATATCCAGCCACCTCGAACCGACAACAAGGACGATCTATCCTTCTGTATCCTATGGTCCCCATTGCATGTGCGTGCAGGAACTTGTGTGTCAAGCCCATCATGATGGCATCATGTCACTCACCCTCTTTTCCAGCCGATCACTCTTCTATTCCCGTTCTTAGGGCACATTGGCATCTCTGACAGCCATGGCGTTGCCTCAGACTTTCAAGGACCAAACTTGATTGGTGAATCTCAGAATGGGAGAAGGATGGCCTTTGGAGCGCCAACGAGATATCTCAAGATTGACATTGGACTGCTTCCAGGAGGAGCGGAAAGATGGGATGAATGGTACGTCCAAGTTACATGACTTTTCTGGCCTGTTTCGTTCCACATCTAGCTCATCTGACATTGACCATAAACCTGGCTTGGTTTCAGCATTGAAGGTGGGTTCTTCTGCTGTTCAGCTATACATAAATGCCCAAGCTGTCGCTGTCAAGTCGCTCATCTTCCTGTCGGAACACAACAATATGTTACGTATTATACATGTGTGTATGTCGTCCATGGAGGCAAATCAGGTCTGCCGAGGAGGAGGAATGAAAAGCATCTGTTGTGGTAAATGTCATTCACACGTCGCCAATGCTCTCAACCGAATGCACATCAAGGCACCCCTGGGTACTTGGGGAAGGGTTCAAATTGCTACCCTGATGTTCTTCCAAGGAAGATTCGTTTCCTGGTGGGGAGTCATTCTTCAGTTTGGACCCTTCTTGTTTCTCGTTCTTGTCTTTCTGGGCTTGAAACCATTATGAGCACAGGAAACGTATCCTGCCAGCATGATTGCTTCTGCTTGTGCATCCAATAGCTGGCACTACTTGTCAAATAGGAAGACTTTGGTCTACGAAGACGATTCCAGAAGTATTTAAAGGATTATTCGTACCTACGGTAATACGGATCCTATGATAGCCTCAACAACAAAGTTTTCATTCTTCTGTACTAGTAGTAGTGTTTCTGTATGAAATCTCGTCTAGGTTGTTCCATGCGCAGATTTATTTTATGACCCCCAGATCCCATCAGATCCCTCCGTGTGCATCAATGCTGAATATCAGTTAGCCAAGTCCAGTCACTGAAACCACGCAAACACTCCTGAGGCTGTTAAGGTATACTAAGGAACCTTGTTGACTATGCTTCGATGTATTATCCCAGAGGATTCCACAATGAAGTGTCCAAGGGTTTTATGAAAACTGAAGTTCGAGATGGGACCGAATGTACATGTACCACCGGTATGGTAACGGCGATACACGCGCTGAATGGCAATTAGCTCTGCAACCTAAAACACCAGTCGACCCATCTGAAAAGATCGATCGAAACTACCTTATTTATTTATTTATTTATTACCACAACATGACAACACCTTGCCACCCACACTCGACACTCATCATCTAACCCATAGTAACCTCTTCGTCACAATAAACAAGGAGGTTTAAGAGGAGGGAAGTTATCTACAAACTCGTGCCGCCATTGTTTATTTAATATAACCAAGCATCGCACCCAGCTTCCAAACAAAAGAAGTTTATGGATCAATCTGCATCTGCTGAAGCTTTGGCCCCACCAGCAGAAACCATGATGATTTCTGATGCCCACACCCGCACCGACAACAAGGCCGATCTCTCCTTCTGTATCCTATGGTCCCCATTACATGTGCGTGCAGGAAGTTGTGTGTCACGCCCATCATGATGGCATCGTGCCACTCACCCTCTTTTCCAGCCAATCACTCTTCTATTCCCGTTCATAGGGCATACTGGGATCTCTAACAGCCATGGCGTTGCCTCGGACTTCCAAGGTCCTTATTTTATAGGAGAATCTCAGCATGGAAGGAGGATGGCCTTTGGAGCGCCAACGAGATATCTCAAGATTGATATTGGACAGCTTCCAGGAGGAGCGGAAAAATGGGATGAATGGTACGTCCAAGTTCTCTGCTTTGCTGGTCTGATTCATTCCACGTCTTTGCTCATCTGACGTCGACAATTCTTTGAAATCTTTGCAGCGTTGAAGGTAGGTTCTTCTGCTGTGCAGCTATATAAATGCCCAAGCTGTCTTTGTCAGGTCACTCACTTTCCTTTCGCACAACAATCTGCTGAACTATTATATGTATGTTGCCCGTTCATAGAGGCAAACCAGGTCTACCGAGGACGAATGCATAATATTTGCTGTGATAACTGCCATTCACACGTCGCCAATGCTCTCAACCGAATGCCCATCAAGGCACCCCTGGGTACTTGGGGAATGGTTCAAATTGCAACCCTGATGTTCTTCCAAGGAAGATTCGTTTCCTGGTGGGGAGTCATTCTTCAGTTTGGACCCTTCTTGTTTCTCGTTCTTGTCTTTCTGTGCATCAAACTATTGTGAGCACCAGAAATTTTTCCACCAGCATGGCTTCTGCTTGGGCATCCAATAGCTGGCTCTTGTCAATTAGGAAGGCTTTGGTGTTTACAAAGACGATTCTAGAAGTAGTATTTTTTTAAAGTATTATTCGTAACTAATATGGATCCCACGATAGACCAAGCATGCACAGTAGAGACAGGAATTCAAAAAGCACCAACACATACCCTATTGAGTTTCGTACGATCTGCTTGTAGCAGTGTCGTAAGATCTGCTTGCGGCTACTCGTTCTTCGTGCTCCCTTGCAAGTGTTTCGTAAAGGTCTCCTGGAGGTACCTCCAATAGAGGCTTGGAAATGTCGACCTCTTCCTCCCGTCTTGAGCAAAAGCATCTCTTGCACCAACGGAAAAGAGTGATAACGAATAGGGCCGCGCCAACAGTCATAAGAAGTCTTCCACGCCCGTTCCACTCCTGCGCTTCAGGTTCCAAAGCATTGACTTCAGCAATCATCGCAGAGTACTTTTTGGCCTCCTCGGCAAGCTCACTTCTTCGCATCCGAGTCATGTACTTGTACTGCTCCGATGACATCCGTTCCGACCCAAAGATAGTTCCACCCACATCCACTTGAAGGATTCCTCCTTGGTTTGTGGCGGTGACAAGATCCTCCCAGGTGGCCACCTCGAGTTCTGCGTGTGATCGGAATTTCATACATTGGTTGACATTTGAGTAGCCGGCGTCATCGTCGCACTGAAAGTAACCTTCATTCGGATCGTTGGCCAAGGAGTCGTCATCATTATCATCATGGCTGTCATCATCATCATCGTTCTTGTAGTACTGATAGGCACCAGCAGAAGAGTTGTACTGCCATGAACTGGACTGCTGCTGCAAGTTGTACGCCTTGCATGGCTGGCAAACCTTGTAAACTTCAAGCGCGTCATTCCAGGCTTCTAGGTAGCTACCATACAAAAGACCCATGCTGGCCGACACTGAATCAGGATCAATGTCAAGACCTTCATATTCATACTTGCAAGCACTGTCTGTGTAAAGTCCGTAGGTCATGTTTCCGTTCCACGTTGGCTTCAAGTCAAGGTAGAGGTAATTTCCGTTGTCATTGCCGTAGCTGCTGTCGTCAAAGTAGTAGCCATTGCCTTGAATTCCAGTGTTCACGCATCCCTGAGTCCATTTCTCCTCGCGAGACTCGGACATGAATTCGTACAAGTCGTCATCATTCCAGAGACAGACTCCCTCGTGCTTAAACAGCTGCTCAAAGAACGCATCGTCTCCAAAGTAACTTGCCTCCTTGAAAACTCCCATCAGCTTCCAAGTCGTTGTGTTGCTGAGGTGACAATCCATGGGAGCACAACGTCCATTGCCATGCACGTCACAGGCGGAGTCGTCCCAGGCCCCACTGTATGGATCGTAGTAAGAATATTCTCCAATACCGCCGCCTTGGTAACTCTCGTCGACGTACTGGAGCACAAATAAAAGTTAGGAACAAATTGGATGAAGGGATAAGACAGAATCGCCGCGTCATGAAACTTACAGCCGCCCAAATCAAATATCTCTGACAATAGTTGTTGCCCTCCCATCTCTGGCCTTCATCGGAATTTGAATGACTGCCGCTTCCACTGTCGTCGTACCTGTCCGAGGGGTATCCGCACTTCACATACCAACCCAAATATCGCCATGATTGCTGATATCCGTCATAGTAGCTGCTGTCGGTTTCGGCAAAGAGATTTGTACCGTAGGCTCCACTGTATCCGTAGTAGTTATTCTTGTACGAAGTCCCATAACTAGAGGAGGAACTACTACTACTGCCTCCGTTGACATTGGACGTGGCATAGTAGGAGCTTTGGGCTCCCACCATTGTGGCCAACGAGGCCAAGAGTACTGAGATGATGGTCTTCATAGTACTGTACTAGATAGAGTCGCACTGTAGAGACAGAGTTTCTTGTTATCTTTGGTTGGTTCGGTACTCGATTCGATTGGGTCGGGAGAGTTCAAAGCTTGAGACCGGGGTCGCCTTGGCTTTCGTTTTGTGAGAGTTTGAAGCCTGATGCGCCGAGCTCCGCTGAATGATGTTTGCGTGCGCCTTAGACTGTCTTCCGGGTAGGTGCACTTCCATAGAGGCGTTCAACGTCCTTTCACCGAAGCTGAGGAATTTTTTGTCAGTGTCGTCGGTCCTCTTGTTGTGTAAGAATGTACTGGGTCGTCGGTAGAAGAGCCAAAACGGACCTATCACGTGTCTTTGATTTTTCGCACTGAAACTCAAATGGGTCCATTTTCAGAGGTGCTCCCGCGCACTGCCCAGCCTTGGTTCGACTCCCACTTAAGATTTCTGGCGGTACCGTGACCGTTTCAGTTCAGCTCCAAATTTGGGCCGTCAGTGGAAACAAAATGAGTGCTTTTACGTCTGTCTGTCCCCCATGTTTAGGCTCAGTCAATGCGTTAAGGAGGCGAAGGTTAGACGTCCTGAACGCTTACTCACAGAAAATTCTATTGCCACTCATCGCACCATCCGGAGTGCAAACAATGCGCCCCTCGAATTTTCCGCCCAATTCGAGATATCCATCAGTACACAACCACACGTCTCCCTCCAATGAGACACAATCACAAATCATTTTCAATCCATTTGGAACTTTGCTCAACAAAGACCAACAGGCGTTTGAGCGATCGACGTGATTGACTTGCGTAATCAACATACTTAGTTAGGAAGCCTTTATCCAAAACCATACAAGAAGACGATGAAAATGATGGCAACGGTGACGGTCGTTTTAGGACTCCTCTTGGCTTCTACCGCACATGCTGACAAGGATGATTCCTACTACATTGCTGGAACGGGCAATCCCAACCGGAATGAGAAGATGTATTGGAAGGACGCTGAGAATGTCTTCCAAGACCTTAGTTCGTTCTCTACTCTCTACGTCGAGTTTCATAACTGTGCGTGGACTTGGATGCAAACAAGTGACGACGACAACGATATCGACGAGAATGACTATTGGTACATGGGCAAAATCCCTCCTATGGGAGCCAACGTGGCCTACAGTCTCTATGGAAGCCTCAAGGGCGACACGTTTTCTGGGTGTGGCGCCGACACCTTCATTAACTCCTTCTACACCAACACTGGCTTTACCAACTTTGCTCGAGCCATGAACTACGCTGGGCTCTCTGGATTCTCTAAATATTCTTATGATGACGACTCCTCGTCTTCCTACACTGCAGCATGTTCGGGTGGCTCTGGCGTGGGTTGTGACTACTCCAATGGCTTTGCTGTTCACACCTACTCTGGAGACGAATGCAACCCATCAAACTACACCGGCGTCAGCGACTCTTTGTCAAACCTCAACTCTGCCATGAAATCTGCCACATGTATCAAGATTTTTGACTCCAGCAGCTATAGCGGTAGTCCCTACGGAACCCCACTCGAGGTACTGGCATACAGCCACTCGTGCTTCTACCAAGACTTCTTCTCTCCCGATGGAGTCTGTCCGGATCCGTATGGAAAGCTGCAGTATTATCAGGAAAAATTCTACAATGGCATCCAGGAATCCAAGAAGCAAGACCCTTACCAAATTAGCAGACGAAAACAGGAATACTACGACGACATTAAGGAGGGGAAGATGATGTCTGTCGTTGGTCTTTTCCTTGTTGCTGTTTGTCTTATCTCTTCATTCGTCGAGCTCGTCATGTGGTGTTGCTGCACCAAGTCCAAGCCAGTGGTCCAGAAAGAACTTCCAGCTGGTCCTCAACAGGATGTCATCCTTACCAAGCGAAGTGGAGACGACGACGATACCGACACGGATGCTGGAGGTAGCAAGAGTACCGCTGAAGGATACATTACAATGTCTGATGATGTTGAGGCTCCTGCCACCACCTATCAACCACCAATCGACGTTACACCACCCAGTAAAGAGGATCAAGCCAACGTTGTGGACAAGGTTAAGCAGGCTCTTCCTGCCCACACGGCAAGGGCAATCGAAAGCTATGTTATGGATGGTATCAAAACTACTCAGTCGCTGCCCCCACCTATTACTCCGCCTGCAGAAGAAGTCGTTGTCGCTGAGCCAGATACCGCGGCCCAAGCCAAGTCTGTTGATGCAGTAGATGATTTGAAGGCCACTGTCAAATCGGCTGACGCTATGGATGATTTGAAGGCATCCGTTTCACCTGAGACAGCCGCTGCAATCGAAAAGTTTGTTGCTGGTGGCAACAACGCGATGTCAGCTGGACCGGGTAAAGAGGTTCAAGCCGACGTTGAAGGTGAAGCCGCCCCAGTTACCGTGTATGCACCTCCAGGTCTAGAATCGGATGAACCAAAGGGAACCGAAACACAATCCACGCCCGAAACTGAAGCATCGGATGACAAAGTTATTGCTAGTCGAGATGAAGACGAAGATATCACGATTGAGGTGGCCCCTTGTGAAGGCAACATTTCAGTCGAGGTCAGTCAAAGTAAGGATGAACTACCCCCAATTTTGGAACAGACCCAATCCCAACTCTTGATGGCATTCGAACCCGAGATAACTCCGAAGAGGGACAGTATCAGTGTGCCAGATCTGGATCTGCCGAAGCCGTCACTCTTAGAACTGTCCAAGTCCCAACTCATGTCCAAGTATTTTGACGCCGAAGAAGGCCCCTCTGAAGTGTTCAAGACTGACGATGAGGAAACAACCGAGGAAAAGGAATCGCCAGCCTTGGAGCCAACCACCGAGGAAGAGGTCGTCTCAGCCGGAGCTGAGACTAGGGCCATTGATGCTGCCCCCAACACTGTTGAGCAAACACCCAGTAGCCCTGAGGAAGCCGCTGCCGCCGAGGAAGCTGATGCGACGGAGGAGGAGCAAGCAACCACCACCACGGTGGAGCAACCCGCCACCACGGAGGAGCAACCTGACACTACCATCGAGGGGCAGGTGGAGGAGCAAGCGACCGCCACCACCGATGACGCAGCCAACATCAGCGAGGAGCAAGGTGGCCAGGATGGGAGTTCAACACGTCCCAACAGACAACGACAGCCCAGTTGGTTCGGCTGGTAAATTGTCGTGTATTTTTGGTATCAACTGTGTGTCCCGTGATCGTTGCGCGGAAGGGTTCTGCAGCAAGAAGTGTACCTCCATATGAATCTAGACTGCGTTTTATCCTGATCTATTACTTAGCTATAGGAATAATCTGTACCGTATAAAGATGACTCGAGTACATTCACTTACTTCCTGTTACCAGTCAGAAGATTTTCACATCCGCAGCACTTGATAGATTTGTATCAAAGAGTTCCCATGTCTGTCCATTCCACGTAAACTCACAGGAGTTGCTCTTTGCATCTTCTCCCGTCAGCAATAGCTTGTCTGCTTGCGTCCAAAGCGCCGTTCCTTCTTTCCAGGGCTCAATAGCACAATCAATGTTCCATCCCTTGGAAATATGCTGTGTCCTCCTTGAATGGAGAGAAAAGCTCTTGCAGACTCTAAATCGTCTTGGTCGAGGGCGGCGTTTAGATCTCCAGAATTCCGCTCCCATCGTTTCACGAATTCACCAAGACCCCATCCTCTGGAAAGCCCTCTGAGGAAGCCCTGCGTTGTGACGGCTTCTCCTTGCTAGCTAGATCAGCTTCTGTACCCGTGCCTTTACCGATCACTATAATATGTAGCGCACTGTAACAGCTACGGCCAGTGAAGGACGCCCCCAGGCGCAAATTGTAGGGTTAGTGGAGACAAAAGGCAGCGAAGAATCAACCTAAACCTTCGCATTCCTGGGTAGTGAAGAGCTGGTACCTGGTACTGCAGCTCTGGCCACCCAGCCAGCCATCGGCATGCCGAGAGCATTCTGAAACCTCAAACCCTTCCCTTCCCTTCTTTTCTTTTTCTGTGACTATTCTTCCTCTTGCTGACCAGTCTGTTCTTTCTCTTCGTCCCCGCCACTCCCACATAACCGACTTTCGTCCCTGCTTGATTTGTCAATCTTACAGTTGCTACATATGCACCATTCTCGTCTGGCCACAGGGCCTGAGATACTTCCTCAAAGTTATTTGTACCAGGTTCGACCACGGTACTCCTCCCAAACGGGGCGACTTCAAAACGGTAAGAAGCGGCTCGGAGTGACCAGGATCGGTGACTGGCGGTGGAGAGGAGGCCAAAGAGTCGAGTCGGTTGCGTTGGGCCTCGACTGCGCAGCTGCAGGTAACGAATCTGTTCACGGCCATGTAGATATCTGGTTTCCAAATGCACAGGGTCGCCAAGACGGCACCTTGCAGATGGGACATGGTCCCTCCGTAGAAATGGACCCAAGCGGGCATCCAAGTGGCAAAGACAAACAGCAGGAGCATGTACGGTACCCACATCAGCTCAAAGACAAGCACTACACGCAGTGGAACGGCAATCATGTGTTACATAATTCTTGTGACCCAGCTTGGAAATCGTCATAAATAAAATGGTTACCTGTGCCCAACACGGAAAAGGAATCATCAACCCAATAGAGAAACCAAGACCCACTACACTCATACCGTCACTGTTGACAAGGACAATGCCACCATTGACAGTGCCACCTTTGACAATGAAACTGGGAAAGGAATCGACCCAGCTTTCATTAGAGGAGGAGAAGAGTGGTTGGCAAGCTTTACGTTGGGAATACCACACTATGAGGCCATCGACGACCAAGAGTTGGATCACCCACCTCTCCCAAAGTCAACATTTGAAGCCTGCAATGAGTCTATCCCTATTAGGAAGTCCCTGTTCAAGAGTGGAAATGAGATATTCCGAGAGGATGGCTTTGTGCAACGGCTCGCATTGACAGGATGAGGCCAATAAATAGACTTGATAATAGGCTTACCTCGTATTAGTAGTGATCGTTCGTGATTCACCATTGTCATGTTGTGTGTTAGCGTTGGTGCATGGCATGGGCGCACGGGCGAGTGTGGAGGAAGGAGGAAGCACCAGCCGAACTCGTAAAGAACAAAGGTGGCTTCCATGGCCTGCCACCGGTACCGTACCGGTACGACAGAACCAGTGTGCTCTTGAAGTCTTTGTACTCTCGCCGTCTCGGCGTCTCGGAGTTATTAGGACGGGAAGATCCTTGTTCCGAAGGCGGAGAACCCCCCCGAGAGTCGATTGTGCGATTGTACGGTAGTCTCGCCGTCTCGGAGTTAAGCGGGGAAGATCCTTGTTCCGAAGGCTTCCAAGCAGTGGAGCCCGAGAGTCGAGTCAATTCAAGTCGATCGAGTTGTCGTTGTCAAGTCGAGACACAAGAAGCCAAAAACTGCGGAGCCACCTTGACGAAAATTAATCAGCTCCAAGCCATCGGTGTCAGACCGGCTATTCGAGTACACCGCTGCCAGTATCTTACTATATTTAGTACCGATATAACTACTTCCTAAAAGATCGATCCATCATGGCAACCCCGTTAGAGAAGTCCTTAGTTCTGGTGCCAAAATTCACGGGTGGATTGTCAATGATTGGTTCTTGTCTCATTTGTTGGACCATTCTAAAAGATCCTCGTGCCAATTTTCGCAAGTCCTATCATCGGCTCATGTTCGGCATTGGCTTTGGCGATGTCTTCTATTCTTTGACCATGTTTCTTTCAACGTGGCCGATTCCCAAGGACGATCCCAATGCACCTTGGTTGGCTTCGGGGAATGAGGCGACATGCCTCGCTCAAGGCTTTGTCCAAGTGCTCTTTGCGCCTACCCCTTACTACAACGCCTTCTTGGGCATTTATTATGCGTCGGTGGTGGTTTATAGTTGGCCCGAAACCCGGATTTTCCCTTATGAAATGACCGGCCATGCCGTGGCTTTGATCTTCGGTGTCACAACCTCCATTATCGCGCTCGTTCAAGGCAAGATTGGTAATGCCGTACGCTGGTGCACCCTTATCGATATCCATTTCGCACTGTTGGCAACTGTCCTTTGGCAATGGGTGGCCTGCATTGTGCTGGTTGTCAGCATGACCTTTTTGTGGTGGAAAGCAAGCGGGCAATTCAGAAGAACTCAGAGATACGGAGAAGCTGCCATTCGTAAAAGTCAAGCACAAGACCACGCGGCCAGTGCCACCGGTGGTTCCAATACAATGTCATCTTCTACCACTGAAAACCGATCCACCCCCACCACCAATCCCATGCAACTTATCACCACTCAAGCCTTTCTCTATGCAGCCGCCTATTTTGTCACACAGGTCCCAAGTTTCATCTGGACGGCGGCCTATTACATCAACCCCCAACTAGAAACTCCTGCGTGGATCCAGCTTTTCATTGTCATTGCGTACCCACTCCAAGGATTCTGGAATTGTCTCATCTATTTCCGCCCTCGATACTTACAACACCAACAGAGGAAAAGACAAGAGATGGCTAGAAGTACCAAAGCGTCCGAAGGAATGCCGAGTCAGTTTCAACCACAACCGCAAACGGGCGGACATGACGAGGTGGAGGGGCAGTAAAAGACAGAGGAGGAGCTGATTTGAAGAAAAGGAAGATTGGGCTATTACATGCATACATGTAGAAGTTCTGCATATACTCTATCTGGGCTTGCCCAGTTGTATTCCATCTAATAAAGACATGAGATATGTTCTGCTGGTTGGGGTAGTGGCTGGAACTGAGGCCTTTGTCGCACTCATAAAGCTGTTCAGGGGTTTGGTTTCATGAGTCGAGTCAAACTTGACAAAGTGAATCGAAGTGACTTTGAGCACCATGAGTGGTTTGTCGGGTTGTACCCCACCAGATGCCGAACCAGCCCTCCGCTGCTGACCTTTGGCTTCTCATCCTCCGCCACTGCTTTCGCCATGAGCGGAACTGTGCAGCGATTGACCCAGAGCAGTGTCTGACAATTCCTTTACTAAATATAGGGATGAACTACCGCCACTTTTGGAACAAACCCAATCCCAACTCTTGATGGCATTGAAACCGAGGGACAGTATGGCAGATCTGGATCTTCCGATGACGTCACTCTTAGAACTGTCCAAGTCCCAACTCATGTCCAAGTGTTTTGACGCCGAAGAAGGCCCCTCTGAAGTGTTCAAGACTGACGATGAGGAAACAACTGAGGAAAAGGAATTGCCAGCCTTGGAGCCAACCACCGAGGAAGAGGTCGTCTCAGAAGGAGCTGAAACTAGTGCCTTTGATGCCCCCCCAGCACTGGTGATACTGGTGAGCAAGCACCCAGTAGCCCTGAGGAAGCCGTTGCCACCGAGGAGCAACCCGCCACCACGGAGGAGCAACCTGACACTACCATCGAGGGGCAGGTGGAGGAGCAAGCGACCACCAACATAGACGACGCAGCCACCACCAGCGAGGAGCAAGGTGGCCAGGATGGGGATTCGAAACGTCCCGACAGACAACGACAGCCCAGTTGGTTCAGATGGTAAACTGTTGTGTATTTTTGGTATCATTGTGTGTCCCGTGATTGTTGCGCGGAAGGGTTCTGCAGCAAGAATCTTGGACTGCGTTTTATCCTGATCTATACTACTTAGCTATAGGAATAATCTGTACCGTATAAAGATGACTCGAGCACATTCACTCACTTCCTGTTACCAGTCAGAAGCTTTTTCACATCCGCAGCACTTGATAGATTTGTATCAAAGAGTTCCCAAGCCTGTCCATTCCACGTAAACTCACAGGAGTTGCTCTTTGCATCTTCTCCCGTCAGCAATAGCTTGTCTGCTTGCGTCCAAAGCGCCGTTCCTTCTTTCCAGGGCTCAATAGCACAATCAATGTTCCATCCCTTGGAAATACGGCCGTGTCCTCCTTGAATGGAGAGAAAAGCTCTTGCAGCATCTAAATCGTCTTGATGGAGGGCGGCATCTACAATTGCCACCAAAGAAGAACAGTTTTGAGTGTATTCCTGTTGCTTTTCCACAGAGATTGCTGAGAGATCACGTCCCAGAATGTAGTTGAAGTGATCGCCCACAATCAAAATGATTCCATCTCGTTGGTCGTCCTTGCCATTCCTCTTTTTCCTCCTCAATGCCACCATGGATGCAGCCGCGCCATCCGCAAGTCGGTCCCATTGTTCACAATAGTAGTGCTGTCCTCGTTCATCCGTGGCAAAGGTCCATTCTTTCCAAGTCCTGACCACATCACTATTATTTGTTGTTGCTGGTTGCAGCTCGGCATACCACTTGTTGGGTCTACTTCTGGGTGTCCCCACAAAGTTCCAATCGATACAATGATGCCGGGTACAAACCAGGTCTTTCTCAAACTGCTTGGTTCCCTTGTCGACTCGAGTGTAACCAGCAAAGACGTGTTGCCTAGCGTAGAATCGAAGTTCCTCTTTGGAAAGGTCCTGCAATGACGTCTTGCCAGGAGCAATCACAGCCTCGCGAGTCCTTGGAATCCTCAAGTCAATAAATAGATTATTCGTTTGCAGATTAAACGTCCGTTCATCCTTGATGGATGTGTGTTCCCAACCACCAAAGAACAAGAGACGGGTCCATGCACCCGCAATGGGAACATCTTCTTCTTCGCGCGAACGTTTGCTTCCGGCGCCAGGTGTAGCAGTCGTCTTCCAATCTCGAAACACGGACTGAGTGTCACCTTGGAGTAAGTGATGATGAGGTAGTTCGGTTGTCTCAAAGGGAAACCCACGGTCTGCCGTGTACAAGACATCGGCTCTTCCACCCCCAGTCAAGATGCGCGTCTGTTTCTCGGACCATCCCAAGTGGCGCTTCATGACGTCTTCAAGGTCTTCTCCTTCCATTGTCACTCACTCACACCTTTTTAGTTACAGAATCAAGCCAACAAGAGCCAATTGTATAATAGTGGGAAGAGCTTTGTCGGTGGTTATGTGGTTATGTGGTTATGTCCACCTCTCTTTTCAGGGCTCCCTCCACACCGGTGTCGACACCAGACGTTTCATTGTCGCATCCTCACCCAAGCAAAAGATCCAAAAGATCTTATTTGTGACGTCATCTTCGGGACACAGGCAAAAAGCTGCTTCTGTGTTGGATTTCAAGCTCTACTAGCTATTAGTACTCTGACGATTTAGTCCGGATCCAGAGTTTTCTATACAGGCTGGTTTGCTTTGCAAGTGAAACAAAGAACTATCCTGTAAATAAATTTTAAATTTATATAAATGAGCCAAAATGAACTAAATTACCAAACTTGAAGCAAAACTGAAAATTCAAATGCGAAATACCCTTTACATTAAGAGTCTTCGTTGAGTAACTGTAAGATACTTCACTTTTCTCCTCATCACAACACCATGCTCTGGTCAAGGACTACGAGACTAATGAAGCATGTAAACAACCAAACTAAGCATGTAGATTTGTCTACATTCTTTGCTTGTTGCAGCCATGTGCTGGTTGTAGTGGTAACAGCTATGTAGCAGGCATTATCTTATGTCAAATTAGATGCTTCATTCTTCTTCCAAATATTTCCCCAAGTTCTCAGCTTCACCTTTATTTCGGACTGTGCCACCCTTCTGCTATCAACACAATCATATCTATTGATCTGATGGACACATTGTAGTCCATTAGGGAGAATCATACCACTGAAAGTGAGTTGGATCAACGAGTTAATAGCGTCTTCCGTTCGACGACGGCCGGTTGACAACGTTGGATGGCTGGCTCCTCTTTAGTAGTCCTCGACGATCTTGTAGGAACAGCAGATTCACTCTGGGCAGTCTCCAGGCTTCCTTGACTGCATAGGTGTATATATGACTGCAATGGTATGGCTCGGTTCGACCCGAATTGGGATCTAAGATCAGCTGGAGGCTGTTGGCACCAATCGAAAAAGCAAAAATGAGTTCCCCACTTTGCTAGTCAATGTTCACTTCCAAGACCACCAAATGGGCAAGCCACTACCACCACTGCGACCGTCACATCCAAATTATGTATTCCCTATCTCAAAGTATTGCTAGGGTGGCTCTATTGGTTAAAATACTAGGGCATCTTTGACAGCCAAGGTGGTGTGTTTTTTGATGAGGATGTGTCCAGGCAGGAACAAGCAGTTTTTTCTAAACTGTGTTCACCAGGTGATTCTGGGCGATCCAGAGCAAATCCGGATTTTTTTGAAAATCCGGACCTTTTCGTCAGAGTACTGTAGCTAGCTAGTATGACTGTAGCGGTAGCTATACCATAGCAAGTGGCAATCGAAGAACCTGTGTTGAGTGCCTTGTTGATGGCAGCTGAGCTTGTATACGATACTACCATATCACAGAGACAGAGATGACGATTGACGATAAGGCGTTGCTTGGTGTGAGTATCCACTACCTCCAGACGTCCTTCTTGGAGGAAGTCACCAGTACAGAGCCATTGAGTCGAAACTCTTCAATCCACCAAATCGAGGACCTTGAGAGCCATGAAGGAGGTGTTATTCGGCGAAAAGGAGCCGATAGGGTTTGTCCTATTGACGGAAAGACCGGTGCGGCCTACGTTCACTGCCTGCAGGGAAAAGATAGTGTTGGGACTGCCGACTACATGTTGAGCTATTCACGGAGGTCAGCTTTTTTATGTATGCAAGTGTTCCGAACTTTTTATCTCGCTGTTCCTAACAATCTTCAGACCCCTACATGTATGCTTTACCACCTGGTAGCTACACCATTGGAGATATTGTGGACTCCCTGGTGGATTTCTGTGCCAGAAATCAAATGGACCCAAAAAGAGTCTATGTATGGATCTGCTGCCTTTGCATCAACCAGCATCGAGTGGCAGCCCAAAAACTACACTCGGGGATGCTCCAAAGCACGCCCATTGATTTTCTGGGAGAGTTCCAAGGACGGGTGACATCCATTGGACACTTGCTTCCCCTGATGCAGCCATGGGATAGGCCACAGTACATTCAACGAACCTGGTGCATTTTTGAGCTCTTCACCGCCCACCTGCAAGGATGCGACGTGACAATCGTGATGCCACCAAGAGAAGCATTGGCGTTGGAACAAGCATTGTTTGGAGGAGAGGGAGAAATCATGAATGTAGTGTATGACGCACTCGCAAAGACAAGAGTAGAGGATGCCCAAGCTTCCGTGGAGACTGATCGACTTGCAATACTAGAACTCATTCAAAAAGGGCCAGGATTTGCGGCAGTAAACCGCAAGGTCAACCAATTGATCCGGCTTTGGGTGCGTCAGAACATATCGGAGATTGTCGACAAGAGTGAAGACATCAGTGCCAGAAGAGGCGATTTCCTAGCGTTTGCCAAGCGGTGCGATCAAGCCTGCGAACTGTATTTGGCAGCTGGGGAATACCACTTGGCGCAAGAGGTTGCCGAGAAGGCACTCTCAATTCAGAATCGTCACGGTCCAATGGATCTCATAACAAAGGCAAGATATTACCACAGCGTTGGAAAAGCATTGAACTTCCAGGGAGACTATGATGGAGCCTTGGCAAACTATCAAACAACCCTGCAATTACGGCAATCGGCTCTTCCTCCTCATGATCCTGAAATTGCAACTGCTCACAACTTTATCGGGGCCGTTCTGAGATCCAAAGCATACTACGAGGAAGCACTAGTGGAGTGTCGAAAGGCTCTGGCAATTCGTGAGATGGTTCTTGGGGAGGAGCACACCGATACTGCTTACAGTTACTACTGCATTGGAAACATTCTAGCAGCGAAGAACGAATACCAGGAGGCGCTTACCATGCTGAGGAAAGGGTTGGCCATACGGGAGCGCTTGTTGGGGGACAATCCACAAACTGCAAGGTCACATACCAACCTAGCCGAAGTGCTGCTCAATATGGGGGACTGTAAAGCCGCTGTGGTCCAGCATGAAGCAGCATTAAATATGCGGTTGGCCTTGCTGGGGCGAAGCCACCCCGACACTGCCTGGTCTTTCTATTGCATTGGAAAAGCTCTGGCTTCAACCGGGAACTACAAAGTTGGTCTGGAGAATCTAACGATGGCGCTTGCGATTGACCAGACTGTTTTGGGTCTGGACCACCCTGATATTGCGACAATTCAAATTGAACTTGGAAATGTTCTTGTTTGCGCGGAAGACTACGACGGGGCTTTGCCTGAGTACAAGGCAGCCCTTGAAATACATGAGTCATCACTTGGAAGGAGTCATCCTGATTCGGCCAAAGTGCGGGGGTTAATCGATGAGGTCGCTGCGAAGATTCAGCACAAGGGCCATGTCACATGATGCCCTGGTCTCCACTGTACCATACGGTTTCTGTTCAGCGAACGAGAAGACCATAGAAACGCAATGATTGTACAACCAGGGAAGCGATCCTCTTTGCTACACAGCGCACCGGGTTTCAATATGTTGGCGCTAGCTAGTTTGCTACCGCTGATCGAGATGCAGGGTTTGCAACAAGCAACTTTTGGTCAAGTTCTGCGAGTTTCTTGCTCAGATCTATATCAATATCTATAGTCAACCTTTTATTTTAAAACTTCAGGGCTACAGACCGGGGCAGCCAAGTACTGCAAGACTCTCATGCAGACTACCCTGGTGTTGCTTGAGTTGAGTGCTCGATTATTCATGGGGGGCGGTGAGTCAGTGTATTGGTGGTTCTCTTAACGCATCCACTATGACGACATGACATCAGTCAAATCAACAACTTCATCATAGGATATGTCCTGCAAAACCAAAAATGACGCGAACGCATGGTGGAAAGGTGAGAATTGACGACTCAAAGTCCACGCCTAGCTAGCTACTAGTAGTAGTTTGGTCTTGACGCAGCGTACGCACCACTTCTTCTCCTGCAAAGGTATTATCTTCCGTGAGAAAGAGCATGCAATGACATTCATGTCTAGATCAGAGAGAGAGAAAAGGGTGGGTTTAACAAATTGGTTAGTAGGTACGTCCAGGGAATGCAGTGGTAGAGGTATGGGCATTTCATCAGGTACCTTTCTCTCCTGTGTGACGAAGCAGCGGTAATGGAAAGGTTAGATACCGGTAGCCACGAGTAGCAGCTTGAATTGGCAAACGCAACACTTACATTGGAACGCATGGGCAATTCCAATACCCATCTTTTGCTTCAGCTGCCTTATCATCATAAAACCTACAGGGACACAAGGGAGCACCAAATTCAACCTTGTGCTCAGCCAATCCCTGAATGACCACCGCTGGTACTGCCTTGTCAGAGCACAACTTGGTGCCCGTGTTGGCCAAGTATTTGTTGGTAAATGCCGTCATGGCCTTGGCAGCTTTGGCCACTTTTGCGTCGTACTCTTCTTTGGGCATGTCATTCTTAGCCCCATTCTGTGCCAGGAGTTGTTGCCCAGTGGTCTTGGCGCCAGCAGGCATGAGAAAGGCGGAACTCGAACGGATCTCGAACATCAGCACCATCAAACTCAACACCAGAAAACGCTTCATGATCAGCACACTAGCTGTGTTGGTAGCAACCTCACTCATGATATGATCGAGAGACGGCCGTTTATTATTGTGGTATCTGTCACCTCTGCTCTTCTTCTGCCGTAGCGGAGGATCAGGCTTCTTTCTTGCTCTGTTGGTGTCAAAATCAGATTCGGTGACGGGGCTTCCCTTGTAGCTATTGCTTTGTGATGAGCGGGAGGGACAGTGTTCTAAAATCAACATCAATCAGTGACGAGTGGTATGATACAGCTCTGATTGTGGGATCGACAGTTCGTTGATGACGAAGGCCGAAGGATCCTTTTCGAGATCCCAAATCCCATAAAAACAACCTCCAACAGATTCGCGGGCTGATGTCATCCAGCTGCTCCGTGTGACTTCCAAAAAGCCAGCAAGTGCTGTAAAAGCAGCAGGAGCAATGTGGGACAACATTTATTTTTGCCGCAGGGTACGTACGGGTACGGCAGTAGAGCAAACATCTCTAGCCAGCTTACTTTGGCTAATAGGTTCAGTGCATCAACTGGAAGCTGAAAGCAGAAAGACTTGTATCATTTGCAGTTTAACGAGAGGTTGCCCCCAGCCTCCTATCGTTGGCCAACTCCACAGCAACTTGATACCCACTACGAATAGGACAGCCATTTTGATAAGCCTATTCCAACACTTCCAAGTGACCCTTTAGAGCAGCATTGTTACATGTGTTCTCATCCCAAGGGCATCCATTTTGTCGAGCCCATTTCAGAACTTCTAAATGTCCATTCCGGGCAGCCAAGGAGCAAGTTCTTGCATCCCATGGGCAGCCATTTTCATGGGCAAATTTCAAGATGGCCAAATGACCACCAAGCGCAGCAAAGTAGCAGGTGGCCTCATTCCATGGACAGCCATGCAGGTGGGCATATTGCAGACAATCAAGATGTCCCTGTTTGGCTGAGATGTAGCAGGTTGACTCATCCCAATAGCAACCATGTTCATGGACCCACTGTAGCACTTTCAAATATCCAGCCTTGGCAGCATTATAAGGAGTGTCTGAGTCCCATGGGCAACCTTCTTCTCGTGCCCATTGCAGAATTTCCAGTTGCCCACTCCCTGCCACAGTGCTGGCAAACTCTTCATCCAATATAGCACCATGTTCAGAAGCCCATTTTAACATTTCCATATGACCACTTTGGGCAGCAAAATGCAGGTTTCTTCGTGCAATTGACATCCATTGTCAAATGCATACTTCAGAATCTCAAAATGTCCATTTTTAACTGCAACTTCGCACAAATCTCTGTGAAGTGGGCATCCATTTTCATGGGCCCACACTACCACTTCCAAATGACCAAATTCTGCTGCACAGTAGCAAGTTGATTCATCCCATGGACATCCATTTTCATGGGCCCATTTTAGTACATCAAGGTGCCCATTTTCGGCCGCCTTGCAACAAGTGGATTCATCCCACGGACAGCCACTTTCACGGAGATATATCAGGATATGCAAGTTGCCCCAATCGGCAGCTCTTTCACAAGCACTGTTGTGCATGGGGCAGCCATTCTCCTGGGCCCACCTGAGAACATCCAGGTGCCCCTGGTCAGCAGCATTCTGGCAAGTCCACTCATCCCAAGCACACCCATTTTTCCTGGCCCATTTCAATACTTCCAATTGGCCAGCCAGAGCTGCACCAGAGCATATACTGGCATCCCATTGGCAATTGCGGGCATGGGCATACTTCAGCACGTTGAGGTGGCCATTAATTGCAGCATAGCTGGTAGTCCTGATATCCATTGGGCACCCATGCTCATGAGCCCACTGAAGAACTGCCAGATTTCCAGCTTTTGCGGCAACCGCACAAGTCCATGCATCCCATGGACAGCCGTGCTCATGAAGGAATTTCAGAGCTTCCAAATGTCCATGCCTGGCAGCATTGACACATGTCTCCTGGTCCCACCGGAAGCCCCTTTCGTGGGCCCACTGGAGAACATGAGGATTTCCTGCTTTTGCGGCTATCGTGCAAACATTCGACAAGCGCTCCTCTTTTGCAGAGGTGGAAGCCTCCCAATATTCTGCACAGGACACACTTGAAAACACTGCGCTGTACAAGGTATAACGACTAGTTGCTTGACGAGAAGTGGTGTCGTCCTTTACCTCTGGGGGGTTCTCGACACTGGAACAGTAGGTTTCATACAAGAATCCGAGGCGGCGATTCGCAGCCACAAAGGCAAAATGCCCGATGCCGACAAAGGGAAGAATATTGTTGACCCATACATCCTTTTGATCCATCAGCCGTTGTTGCGCAGTGGTTGATGCAGCCATGATGTGTGGAGGAGACTCTTGCGGTTGAATCTTTGCTACCTTTGTACCACCTTGCCACTGCCATGTGCCCCTTGCGAAACCGTCCATGCAACTGCTTCTGGGAACAAGAGCTCTGAACCCAATTCCGCCAGCAGAGCTGTAAAACTTTGATCCTCATCACACATACCTGGCACAAGAAAAGGGGGAGGAGATGACAGCAAGGATAGCAGCAACGAGCTGCAACCAAAAACCTCGAATCTTTTGAGTAGATCACGATTTTCATGTAATTCTGCTTTATATTTAGGTTTCGATTTTATATTTAGGTTTCGATTTATATTTAGGTTTCGGTTTGATATTTAGGTTTCGGTTTGATTTTAATAGTTATTTACCATAGTAATTTGGTTTCGGTTTTCTATTTAGGTTTCGATTTTATATTTTGGATTGGAATTGATCAATTTAATTGGATTCTTAAAATCCTGATTTCGAGCCCTTTCAATATCATTGATAATTGGTGGCCAAATTAAAATAGCAGAGGTCAGGAACATCTTGGGAGATATCTTATCTCTCATTGCATCCTGCAGTCTCCGAGACAAACCTGAGCGTTTCACCCCAAGAAAGTCACTGAAACCCTACTTGGATCAGAGCAGAAAGCTGTGTTGGGATGGTGCCATGGAACTTGTTGTTCGAAATGTCAAAGAATTGTAGATTTGTCAAAAGCTGCAGTCCAGTGCTGATTGTTCCAGTGAAGCCAGAGTTGGAGACCCCAAGTAGAAATAAGTTGGTACATTTTGTAAAGAGTTCCTCTGGTAGCGAGCCATCCATATTGGTCCGACTGAAATCAAGTTAGAAGGCCTATTTCTGATGGGATGGTTGAGCTGCAGAGGATCCTCAAACACAATCCAATCCAGAGCCTTGAACTTTGGCTGGGTGGGTCCTGGCTCATCATTTTTGGGAAAATAACCGGCCCCAAAAGCCTCTTCTATTCTGTTTTCAATGTTCTCCAAAACAACGTATCGGAAGGAAGTGGGAGCCTGAGTCTCCACATCAGCATCTTTGCTGCTGCAGAGACCAGCCCCACAGATGGAACCAACAATCACTCCAAGGATGAGAATGCTGCCAATGAGAACAACGATCATAACAGCTGTTAAGGTTGATCCAGTTTTTTGTTGCAAATTGTCGGGTCTAGCAATCTGCGTAGGTTCTTCATTTTCTTCCACCTGGTTCGCCACGACCAATTCACTATTGTGGTCTGTGGGAGTGGTGGCTTTCGTTGCTTGTGTTCCCGGGGGCCATTGCATATGCTCCTGGATGCATGGTAGCCGCATCTGGATGATTTTGCCCACAAGTCAACTTTGGTTACGGAAAAGCACTCTCATCCTCTAGACCAGCTTCTGCTGACGGAGTTTCATTCTGTATTTGATCTTGCACTACCCTCGAAATAGAGATATCGTTCCAATCAAATAATTTTGACCTGATCACATCCATGCATGCACAATCTACCTGCTACCGTACATGTAGCATCAACCAAACCAAGAAGCGACCATGATCGTTCACTAACGGGCAGTGTCAAGACCTGACTCTGCCGCCAGTTCAGAGTGTTGCTTGACTCGTTGCTCCTTCAAGTTGCAAGTCGAAGACAGGCCACAGGTTTTGTCCAGACGAAACTAAAGGATGCAGGGGTTTGGCTAGCTAGAGTTTTCGACTATGGATAGCATAGTCATGGATGCTACTGAAACTGGAGACAAATCTAGTTCTATGTATGTTTCAGGAACTCATTCGTTTTTTAAATAATCAAATTGAGAAAATCGTACTCCAAAAGTTAGCTAGATGCTTCGGAGCTTGTGTCTTGCAATGCAGTTACAAAGGCTGACTGCTACCTTCTTGGAGGGAGTACCAAGAAAGCAAGGGCTGTCCCAGTCAAGCAGACGATCGAAGAAAGTGTAAGTTGTTGCATGGCACCTAGGCGGTTAGTGGGGGTCAAGTAGAAGCCCACTGTATATCCAAGTGATTCCAAGCACTTGTAGAATGCAACTGCACTGGAAAAATCGTGAGTCGAAGACGAAAACAACCGGCCCATGAGCCAGTAGCTGTATACCTGAATTTGTGAGTCAGCCCAACCCCAGCATGCAAACGCCAGCGATGGGCGCAAGATGGTTGCCCATGGGCTGGCAATGTCCACAATGACACTCTCGTCGTTGTTCATCTCTTCCCCCAACGCAATCAAGTTGCCAAGCATATTGACGATCAAGAAGATTGTCAAACTCTGAATGGCCACTCGCGGTGCATTGTCGGATGATGAAGCTCCAGATTCTGGGAAGGCTCGTCTCTTGCGATCCAAGAGACGTCCGCAGACAATGGCCCCTAGAATGGCCATGGCGTGAAATATAATCTGGGAATTAAAATGGACGACACGACGAGATGTGAGCAGCATGTTGCCCCCATGAAGGGCGCGGCACACAACACATGCCTGTACGCACCTGTTCCAAACCTATTGCTCGCTTGCTGAGGAAGCGTGTGAAGGTAGCCTGTTGGTAGGGCTGATTGTAGCCCGTGTAGAAGAAGATCAAAGCCAGAATCTGAATGGAGCGATTGTTTGCAAAGAGTGACAGCGTTCCCTTGGCTTCGTCCATCCAAGAATCTTCTTCTTGACCCCCAGGCAGCTCAGTCTGTTTATTGTTTGAGGTCTCTTCGACGCACTTTTGCAGCAGTGGGGATTGTTCGTCAATCTCCATTGTTTCCTCCGCTTCGGAGTTCTTCCCATCAGTTTGGAGAAACCCGAGACTGGATGGCGGCAACAAAAGTTGCGACAGCATGGCACTCAGCAGGATCAGTCCAAGAAAGATCAAGTACAGATTCACAGATGGAGTGGCAACTGCATTGGTTTGTTCGATGGAATCTGCAGCATGATAGTAACAGGAGAAGCTAATGGCCCCGCCCACCAGCGAGCTACACTGAAAGACTGCCCAAAAGGTACCGAGCAACTGGCCACTCTCGGAGCCTTGTGTACCTTCGTCGGAAGAAGAATTCTTTTTTTGTCGGTCTGCCTCGGCCGCATACTGCAAAATAAGTTTTCCTTGTGCCGTCCACAAGAGAGCCGCCCCCATGCCCAAGAGCACTCCACCTAGAATGACACCCCAAGATCCACAGTATCCCTGAAAGTAGAGCAAGGAAAAGACGACCAAACTGACATATCCCATGATTCCAATGGAGAGTGTGTTTCTTGCCCCCCATTTGTTGGTGACACTTGGACTGACAAAGCATCCCAGAGTAAAGGTAGCATACAGGGCCGAGATGGAATTCGCCGCGATTGTAGGTCCGTAAGTGGAAGCAGCATAGAATTGGATCGTTTTGTAGGCGGCAAACAACAAGAGAAAGACTACTCCCAGAGCAATGGTTTGGGCCCTGGGTGTCTTGTACCACGATGGGATGGATTCCAGGGCAATGTACCTCTCCATTGTGGATGCATTTCCTCTCAGTTTAATGGCATCATTGGCGCTGTGGTTCCGAGCCAAAAATGAGACAACGCCAAATACAACTTCCAACGGAAGATAAAGGCAAATCTCGGAGAAAGAATGCACTAAATCTTTTGACAGAGTTAGTCGCTTGAAGATTTAATAGTACAGTACTTTGTATAGTCTGGCTTCTTCTCACTTGCTTGGTAAAAGGGCTTTCGTTCGCGAAGACTTCAGCCACGCCACATTTATACCTCAAACGAAGATGACAGCCTTTGGGATAGCTATTGCTACATCATCCTGTTGAACGGCTTACATGACAATCTTCCTTCACCCGCCCCTCTCCTGTTTTTATCTACTACCGTAGTCGGCTGAACGAAGGCGAGATCTGCCTCACAAATCAATATTATCATCATCGAAACTGGGTTGATTGCACACAAGACACTTTAGCGTGCCGCAGACCTTCCACGACCAAATATATTATTTACTCGACTGCTTGAGAACGGCAACTGATCCTTCAACCAAGTCAACCTACCGCTACGCTGCATTGCGCTTCGAGAAAGCTACTCCACCACCAATCCAATATAAATATATACTGTATAAAATGGGCCCATCATGTCGGTTACTGCCCCACGGAGGCTACGCGTTAATACCCACAGTGTTGACCAGCATGGCGTGGTTTGCTTCGATATTCCAAGACGGCTGCGATTACGCCATTATCGAAGGTCCCGTGGTACAAGCCATTACAGATGACGACGATACAGTCCCCTGGGTGGAAGCAGGTTATGCAGGTTTTCGAACACCTCTCTACAATTCACTGGAAGACGCCTGGGACATTACGTATACAGGTCAATGCCTCGACTACAACATGGACAAGGTCACATTGGATGCCGCATGGAATGCTGGAAAGGCATTTGCCTTTTTGGCATTAGTCATGGGAGGAGGAGGCACCCTATTTCTATGGTTCAGCGTCTGCTGTGTTTTCTCCAAAGCTACCTGGAGATTTGCAGGATACGAAGTCCTATTAGCCGCAATATTCCAAGCCATGGCGTTCTTGTGGTTCTTAAATTCCATGTGCACGCACCGGAATACCTGTTCCTTGAGTTGGGGGAGCAAGGGTGACGTTGCAGCATGTGCCTTGTGGGCATTGGCGGCTCTTTCCATTCTGGTATACTACCCCTCTCCCAAAGTGCCCAGCGATGCTCTGCGACAACAGCAACAACGAGAAACGACAAATCCTGAAATTTCCATTACAGGTCTCGTAGACCAATATCCTTACGATTCTGCTACGGCGGCAACATCGCCGGCATCACAAATATCATCCACATACTCACATATAGCCGCGGGGCTGCCTCTTGAAGGAGATGCCACTGCCACCTTTTTGGCATCACCCAAGAAGCATAGGCTATCGCCCAAGAAACCGAGCAGTAGTGGACACTTAAAGAATGTGGAAGTATTATAGCAAATGGCGCAGCTACCGTAAAGCACAAGTCCAAAAAAGAAAGGAATTGGAACGGTTACTTTTGCTAGCTACGTAACAAACGCGGTAGGGTTTCTTGGGTGGTTTGTTTTGGCAGAAAGATAAGTTTTGGTTCATGCCAGTTTTTTGGTTGGCCGCGTTTATGATGGCGCAAACCTTGTAGTAATAGAATGAAATTGACGAATCCACATCGTTTCGATTCGAACCGAGAATATCACGTACGTAGGTACAGGCCTAGCGTAAAGCACTACAAAATCCGACCGAGATGACATCATGGTCAAACAAACAAAAAACTAGAGCAGCAGCTGCAGCCTCGGCGAGCATATCAGGTGTCAATGGGCGTCGTTTTGGATCGCGTCGATCCACTTCGTCTTCGGTGCATTTCAGTACAGCCAACACGTCGCACTAAACCTACTGTACCGCACCGGGCAAACTGCCCACTTATTTTTCACATCGACACCCACCCTTCTTCATGTCTTTGCAGTTTGAAGCAAATTTTCGACGAGTGTGGAGTTGGGCGGAGCGAAGAACGACGTTTTCTGGTCCTGGGGAGCGGTCGTTGTCTCCCGCAGCTGATCTTCCATGTGCCCCGCAACGATCAAAACAAACACCATTCTATTGTGCGCGATGGTATGACACCGGTACTAGCGTCATTGTCGACAGATGATTATTCCTATTGTTACTGCTGCATTGCCCATGTCTTCGTTGTGTCTTCCCAGACAGCGGCTCGAGACTACTGGGGAAGAAGCGGGCTGGAACTTGCTATTGTTTTCGTAGATGTCTAGTTGCACTTGTCTTCAAGTCGTCGCATCGCTCAATGGTCGAAGCTCGTGTTCGACTCCACTCGATTCGACAGTCAGACGATTCTCCGATTTGATTCACTCGATGAGTTCCTCGTAATCGAACTCCATGACATCGTTTTGCGCGCCTCCTTGCATTCCGCCCGTCTCTGCTTCTCCGGGAAAGGAACCGGCAGAACCATCGTTGGTGCCATAGAACAAGTTCAAGTTGTCATCATTGTTGTTGTTTTGAGGGTTTCCGTCAATTCGATCGTGGTGGTGCGAATCGCCATCTGATTCTGTTCCCTTCCAAGCACCTTCTTGGTGTTCAAGCTCCTGCTCGGTGTACTACAGTAGAGCATGTCCAAGAAGTGAAATAGGGAGCAAGTGTTAGAAGCATACTGTTTGGTCAACAGGAGTACTACTCGATCGTCAAGAAGGTCGACGCGATTCAAGCTTCGGTTTGCTCGCACGATCCAGAACAGCCAGCAGTAAAAATTGCAGCACTCACCCCTTTGGACAACGCGTACTCTTGCCAGCGTCCCACATGTTTCAACATACTATCACGAGCTGTCTTGAGCTTGTCGAGCTCTTCCGTGGCCAGCAGGAAGTCATTGGACGCCTCTCGGAGGCGCTCGCCAATCTCCACAGTGAAAACGCCACCATCGATGGCTTCGGTCGGCATTTCCTGGACCAAATAGTCGACCGTCTCGGGACAAACCAAAGACATCATCCGAGTGGCTTCCATTTGGCGCAACAAGCGCTCGTGCTCGTCGGTCGATTGTTTCATCATGTGGCAAAATTCTCGTTTCTTCTTGGTCTCCTCCAGCTCGCACTCGCTCCATTCGTTCGCGCTTTCCACGAGCGCTTTCTTGTCTTCTTCCTTTTGACGGATCAAGCGCTTGCATTGTTCGTTCAACCACGTCTCTTCGTTGTTGAATTTCGCCAGATCCAGTTGGATCTGTTGCTTCTCCTGGGTCAATCGTTTTCGCGTCTCCTTCAGTTCATGAATGTGCTTCTGGATGGAGGCGCTCTCCTTCTCGTGGAGCTCCTTGGATCGACGATGACGATCCGTGATTTGTTGTATGGTGTGGATTTGCTCCTGAAAGCGCTTGGCTTTGCCAGAAGCGGCGCTCGAGTGCATTCGATTCATCATGGTCGGCTTGTGGATGAAAGTGTAGTACGAGCTGAGGAATAAATGGGAGTGACCACGATCCATGATCGGATTCGATTTGAGGAGAAGGACTCACATTTTTCTTTTTTCTTTTTTGCAAACAGACAAAATGCATAAGCGTGGAACATTTCGCTCAAAGTCCAGATCCAGCTAATACCGGTAGCTAGCTAGACGAGAGGCGAAACCACAAAACTTGGAAGAGCAGAAGCAAGATGGAGGCAACGAACTTGAACAACGGGAAGAGAAGCTTGGACGGTAGCTTGGTCTTGCCCGAGCAGAACAAGCCAAGCAATAAGCGAGCAAGTGATTCCATGGAGGGTACCAGCAAAGAAGCTATTTTAGAATCACTTTCTCATATCTTGCGGCAGCTCCAGACCGAAAAGAGCAACAGCAAAGCAGACGCAGGAAAACAGCTCACCGCTGCCGTGGCTTTTAGAAACAGGTGAATGAAACTGTGAATGAAATTGTCCAGCAGGCCACTATCAATGTCAGGGTTGCCCCGGAAGATTCCTGTTTGAAGTTTGGAGACACTTGGATCAACAATATATTCCCGTTTGTTGGAATGGGGCAATTTGCCTTTGTGGCACCAGTCAGCCACAACATGAAAGAGATGTATGAGGCGTATTGTAAAACTGTGGAAAATCCTCCCTTTGTGCATACATCTAGATCTTTATTTGACCGACCAGCAACTTGCAAGGATACTTTCTACAGCGAAGTTTTCTGCTCCGTGTCCCGCGCAGAGAACTGGTACAGCTACTGGTACCGGTACACAGACCGAGATGCTGACGCTGAAGATATCGAAGATGTTGATATCTGTTGTAAAGCTGCCAAACAGGGGTGTCTTCAAGTTCTTCGATGGGCTCAAAATCTTGGGTTTAATTGGCATGAAAGGACTTGTTCTATTGCTGCAGCAAATGGCTATTTGCAAATCCTGAAATATGCCCATGAAAATGACTATACATGGGGTGAAGACACATGCTCTGGGGCTGCTGGAAATGACCACCTAGAAGTGCTGAAATATGCTCATGAAAATGGCTGCCCATGGAATAAATGGACATGCTCCGAGGCAGCTCAAAATGGCCACCTAGAAGTGCTGAAATATGCCCGTGAAAATGACTGCCCATGGGCCGAAGACACATGCTCCAAGGCAGCTCGAAATGGCCACCTAGAAGTGCTGAAATATGCTCATGAAAATGGCTGTCCATGGGATGAAGACACATCCTCCGAGGCTGCTGAAAAAGGGCACCTAGAAGTGCTGAATACACCCTGAAATGCCTGCCCATGGGATGAAAACACATGCTCCAAGGCGCTGAAATGGCCACCTAGAATCTGAAATATGCCTGTGAAACGACTGTCCATGGGATGAAAGCACCTGCAAACAGGCTGCTATCAATGGCACCTAGCAGTGCTGAATATGCCCATGAAAATGGCTGTCCATGGATAGAAGCACCTGCCCAGAGCGCTGAAAATGGCCTGAGTGCTGAAATATGCTCATGAAAATGGCTGTCCATGGGATACAAGCATCTGTCACAGGCAGCTGGAAATGGCCACCTAGAAGTGCTGAAATACCCCGTGAAAAGACTGCCCATGGGAGAAGACACATGCTCCAAGGCTGCTGGAAATGGCCACCTAGAAATCCTGAAATATGCCGTGAAAATGACTGTCCATGGGTGAAAGCACTGCAACAGGCTGCTTTCTATGGCCACTAGAAGTGTGAAATATGCCATGAAATGGCTGTCCATGGGATGAAGGCGCAATATGCTGCCGAGCTGCTTGCAATGGCCATCTAGAAATCCTAAAGTATGCTCATGAAATGACTGTCCATGGTATGCAAGCACATGCAGTGGTGCTGCTGAAAATGGTCATTTGGAAGTGCTAAAGTATTCTCATGAAAATGGCTGTCCATGGGATGAAAGCACATGCAGAGAGGCTGCTATCAATGGTCATTTGGATATTTTGAAATGCTCACGAAAATGGCTGTCCTTGGGATGAACACACATACCGTGCTGCTGTTTGTGGCCATTTGGAAGTGCTGACATATTCTCTTGAAAATGGATGCCCATGGAATTCGTTTGAATTAGGGAGAAGACCCCATTCTCGGACAAGGAAATTGGCCCATGGCTTCTTAACTAAAAGGATTGATTGGCCATCACGGACACGATCAGGACGGTCACGGGCCTGAAAGGCATCCGCTCACAATACCCCCCTGGCGAGTTCGCTTCCTAATATCCCGCTTACTGTTGGTTAGGCGTCTTGACCTCTGTCTACCCTTTGACTAAATGCCAATTCCAGCCAGGAGAGATGGCCGCCTATCCACAGAATTTCCATATAATGATAAAGTCACTTACTTTTTCTGCTCGAAGGATCACGATGTGGCATGTTTGAATGTTTGCCTCAGCGTATGCCCCCTGGACCGTCCGACGGTTTTCACACAGGATTTAAAAAATCTTGAAATTGCCACGACTGACTGACCGTTTAAAACAATCCCTTAAACAATCCCTTAACTCATCAACTATCCCTTAAACACTCCCTTAAAGAAACAATCCCTTAAAACAATCCCTTAAATCTTGGACTATCCCCTAAACAATCCCTTAACGCCAAATGGAAATACCATACAACTATCCCCTATTTCTTCAACTATCCCCTAAACAATCCCTTAAATAAACAATCCCTTAACAACAATCCCTTAAATCTTTGACTCTCCCTTAAACAATCCCTTAAGAAACAATCCCTTAATTGTGCTGGTCAATTTTTTGTCAGTGGTGGAAGCTTTTTAAATCCTGAGTGAAAACCGTCGGACGGTCCTGATAACCTTGCACTGTGCCACTGATGACGGTTGCTCATCCGAAACTGTTCACCAATCGACAGCCTCCGTCCGATTCAAGAGATAGCACCGCCCATCTAGCTAGGAAGGCCCGAAACGATTGAGTAGATCGTGAATCTTCTCACAGACGAACGAACCATGATGTTAGAATCACAGGCCGGGGTGAGCCTAAGCTAGGAGCACTGTTGCGACCAACACTAACGACTAGATGAACATTGAACTTTACGTACTATTATTGCCCACACCAGCTGCGTTACGGCAAAAGTTCGACGAAAAAAGCCTACAGTACCGTACACACAAGTAAGTTTTGAAAACATTACACTCCCTCCTTCATGAGCAATAGCAGCTTTTTCTTCCTACAAACAGACCCTATTGATGCATATATGCGTATTGGCAGCTTTGGGTGATTCGATTCTGCAATAGGAATGTTCCAATCCTGTCTGTAACCGAGCCCTTGGCTCGTTGTTGCAGGTTGATTGACGGGGTTGTTGGATGTTTTGGTGTTTGTATTGTGGGTGTGGTCAGGTGTTCCGTTCTTTTGTGGGAGCTTGTGATGATGATGCGGTCGTTTAGCCTTCGGCTTGTCTTCGATCTAGGTGGTATGTTGTCCAGTTTTCCAGTCGTTTGGCGTTCGGGTTTGTCTTGGTTGTTTGCCTGTATAAATCAGCCCCCAGACCAGATTTGGACAGTTATTAGTTGAAGAACACGCACTACATCAGAATGGGGGGCGATTTCAATCATCAATGTTCTATCTTTGGTGCCACTCGAAAGATATACGAACCAACCCAGGCAGCCGTGGCAAGCACCGTAAAGCCCCCGCCAATCCACTTTCCGGCTTCCAGTCCATCCACACAAAGTTACACAGTGACAATTTTAAAAGAGAATAGGCCCAAAGGCGACAAAAGGAAGATGGCTTGGTTTGGTCCAGATAACGGAGTTTGTTTCTTCACGCCTTTCCTAATTGTTGTTGCTGTCTGCCGCCATTTCTCTTTGCCAAAAATCCTGTTGTGTTGTAGTTGGAAGGGACCTCTGCAGCGCATTCTGTGTTCGGGGTATAACAACGCTTGGAGCAACAAACCCATTGGCAGTGCTGCTCAGGAGAGCAACCGCCAAAAGAGCGACGCCGAGTGAAATTAGCTTGTTGCTTCTGTACATGTTGTCTTCGGTGGTGCTTGTATTCTTTTGTGGTTCTTTGTCTGCTTCTTCGATCCTCGTCCTTTCCATTTTTGTGGTGTTTGGTTTGATAGTTTGAGGTTGGATGTGATCCGGCAGGTACGTCATCGCGTCAGTCAAGTCACCGTTTCTTGCTCCTAAGTGAGGTAGGGTTAGAGTTTAAGTTTATATTCATCTTCATCTCTGAAGAATGAGGTTTCTAGTTTTTTCCCTCTCGAGGCTGGCGTCGGGTTCTCCTAAACAGGACTAGAAAGCAGGTCTCAGGACATAAAGACTTATTTCTATCTGG